CTTAGCGGAGCTATGCTAAACCCACGCGGTGCTTGGAGGCAAACGGTGTTAGGGGGGTAACGACCATAAGAAGGCATCCAGTTTAGTGGCTCAATATTTTATTTATGCTAAACATTATGGAAATGTCCTGTCCGACTAGTTAGCAGCTATGAGCAACATGTTAATGTAACCCTGCAACAGGCACACAACAGCGTAACGTTACTCATCGCTCCTGAGCGGAACTGGTGGTAACGTTACATGCTCTCTAACTTTCCCCCCCCGAGGTACACACAGGCCGTAATTAACCGGGAGGGACTACACCAGCAACCACGGTCCTAACACGAAGTCGACCGGGCAACCCGGTACCGGAGGAGCGGTCCTGCCGGCTCCACTGACCTTGATGTATCCGTTGCACAGAGCCATGGAGGACTGCCGTGTTGAGGAATGAGCTCTCTCTTTCGCCTTGGTGTCCCAGGTCTCAGAGAGAGAGAGAGAGAGAGAGAGAGAGAGAGACAGAGCTACTCGTTAGCTCCTGGCTCGGCACGCCGACTACTGTTACAAAAGCAGATTGGGTTGTTGGCTGGAAGATGGGCTGTCAATCTCTCCTCATCCGGTCGGGGAATAACTTTCAGACTAAGGAGCAGACTAAATAAATGTGTCTGTGCTCCATGGGTGGAGCACAAAGTTCAATCCAGAAAAAGAGAGTGGCCCCATGGGGGCTGGGCTTAGACAGCATGGTAGACTTTGGCTGATCATGTTAAAATATATTGGTGCTTAATCTTTACATATATACATATGAGATATGGGATCTCAAATAGTTAGGGGTGTCCAAAGTATTATATTTTAAATGCTTGAATAATATAGGAACTTGTGCTGATCCCCCCTTTCAGTGACCACAACAAATCAAGTTCAAACTCTGTATTTCTCATATGCACAACATTTACAGAAAAGCAGTCCTTGCCAATGACATTCTTGTTCTCACGGTCAAAATGTGTGAAAGAAAATCACACAAGTTGAAAGAGTAATGAGAAAAAGAGAATCAAATACAAAGACATAAAAAGTACATTTGTTAAAATAGAGGAATACAATATACAATACTGTGGTAGATGGGTGTATATTAGTGATGAAATTAATACACTTATGCAGACAGGTTGTGCTGTAGTAAAAGTATATGCTTAATGAGGACTGGTTATGGACAGGTACACAGGTAAATCTGAAGGCAGACAGAATTGTGGGTTATGACAGGGGCACAGGATGATATGGATAGACATCTTGTATCACTCTAATTACATTTTTATTGCAGTATTGTGTCAACATTTATGATAATATACAACATTTTCTGACAAATTAATCAGTACTGAATCATATAAATGCAATATTAGCTCAATACAGCCTTGCTCTTTTAGGTGGTATTAAAGGGATAACTCTCTCTTACAGTTGACACATTTTTATAGTCTCACAGAACCACCCAGCGCCTGTTAGTCCTGTTAATATACAATCTACAGAGCCTCATACCTCAGACTCTGTCAGGCAGTAGCAGCAGGTATGTGAGAGGTACCCCCTGTTCTTTAGCACATCTACTCTACCGTAAGTTCCAGGACTTTTCCTTATTCTATGTCTTTTTCAGACAACATCAATAACATAAGTTAGCTTCAGGCTCACATATCCATGTGTGGCTTTTGTGATTGCCTTTGACATATATTTCTTGCACAATTTCTTTATTTTGCTAATAATAATGTAGTTTCAGTGTGCACATTTTTTCTACATGAAGATTATTACATGCTGTCAGACATCTCCAGCCTGGAAAGTTAAAGAGGAATGTCACAGCAAAGACACAAGTTAGTCAAACAGACAGATGTCACATTCCACTTTGTACAGAGCAAGTTTGTAGTTCTTAGCTACCTTTAACTAGTAAGTGTTTTCTCCAGGTATAAGAGACAACATACCAAGCTGTCTTAAAGAAATTACTTTTCAAAAGTGGTAAGGCAATAGTTTTCAACCTGGGGGAAATGTGTCATGAAACACTGATGTGTAACTTATAACCTTAATAATTGTTGCATAGCATTGCAATAACTGCTGGAACAGAGCCATTATTAATGTTATTAGTTCCACCTTTGCATTACACTGTGAATATGATTCTCATTCAGAAACAAGACTGCCCTGGTGCTTGCAAGGCTATCAAGATTTGAAGAATCATTTGCAACATTTCAAAGAGGTTGGGGCTTGCCAGAAAATGTTTGGGAACCGTACTGCTTTTGGAAATGACAAAATGATTCTGAGGAGTTGTTCATTTGATTCACAGGTTAAATGGAAACGTTAATTAAACACTCCTGTGATGGGATGTTAAAACATTTTCAGGCGCACAACCAGAGGTGGAGAACCAGTCAGATGTGATGATGTCAGCGCCACCCTGTGGAAAACTTAATGAATAACACTTTACACCACACAATTATTAACATGGTCATGTAAGATACTAATTTCTGATGGTAGGTGTCTGTGAAAACCAGTCAAACTTTAACCATCATTCTAAACCAGTGCACAAATAATATTAACTTAACCATAGCAACAGTACTCTTTAGTCAACTCTCACAGGTGAAACAGACTTCACCTTGAGCATGGCTGGATTAATCCACACGGGACTGCAACGACCTGTGGGCCCTTGTCATCCCTCTGGTTATTTATTTAGGAATATGCACCATGTTTATTTTGACACAGAGCACCTTTAGAAGACAGGTAGACAAGGCAAGTGATAATGCAGGCCCACATAATAAGAGTTGATATTGTGCTTTTATTGGTGCATGTTCACAAACAAATTTTCAGTTAATGAGACTACCACAAACCAGTTGAGACATAATAAATATGGGGCCTTTAGGGGCCCTAGGCAGATGACCAGTTTTGTTAGTAATTCAGCCTTGAAAATAAGTTAAACAAACATGAATGATTGGAGCAAAGCTTTTCGTTTAATATTGATATTTGAACTATTTGTGATAGTTTGACAAACCCTCTCACGTAGTTACAACTGCAGCTTCACAGTGCGCCTGTTATCACATGCTGATCCACCCAAATATGCCTGTGTGGTGTCACATGTCATCTGTGGGGATAAGCAGCTTCACATGCACTCATGGTAACCACAAGGCAGAGCGTGACGTTATTCATTACCTCTAATTCGAATGGGGTGTGATAGGTGCATCATAACCTTTACTGTGCCCAAAGATCTTTTGATCAAAGAAAAGGTTTCAGTATGGTTTCTGTTTAAGACTTTCTTCTTAATTTTGTTTTTAATGTATTTTGTGTTTACACTCTAATTTGGATCCTCAGAGTTACAAACTAACACCTGAAAGTTACAAGTCTCCCTTTAGTGTCTCACTGCTATGAATCAATAATAACATATGCTGATTATTTTGTATTTATTAACAGGATGGTCACTTACCACCATGGATCAAGAACAAGCTTGAGGTCACATTCACATATCCTTACTAGACAACACAGAGAAATGCGAAAGCGTACTTCAAACAATGACAGAAGTCAAACTGTAACTGTCATCTTTAGCTGGCAGTCTCAGATATCTGATGTCATTCTGTGACTTCTTTTGATTAATTTAGACAGCAAAACTGTAAAACTGCTCATTATGAAAAACATCAAAGGCATGATCACAGTGATAGACTTAAAATAATAATGAATCTATAAATTAATCAATCTTTATTTATATAAAAAATCCTACTTATGTGATATGGGCTTTACAATTAATAAAATAATAAAATGTATTGTTCAGATATCTGAGGATTTGCTTGTTGTTTTAAATGTTCTTTCTTAGTTTTACTTCATGTAAATGTAACATAATACACCGACACAAAGCATCTTTTGAATTTCAGGACACTGTTAATTCATTATCCTGAGGGGGGCTTGAATGTGTAAAAAGTTCATGGCAATCCACCCCACAGTTGTTGAGACATTTCACTCAAAAGCACGAATGTCAACCTCATGACGACGCTAGAGGGAAAGTCAATGGATCACCTATAAGTCATAAGAATTTACCATGTTGGAACCATGAATGTCTGGCAATCAATCAGAAAATAGTTGTTGTTAGAATATTTCAGTCTGGACCAAAGTGGTGGACAGAATGATCAACCATCAGACCGACAGAGTCATTCCTATAATTACATATTGTGTAGTAACAATTATTGCTGGTTAATTGGGTGTTTTGTGGAAATTATGTCATTGCTGGTGTGATATTTCCAACCTCTGAGGAAACAGCCCCTAAGTTAATAATGTGTGTGTCACGCCCGTGCGTGTGTGCGCGCACGCAGGTGAGGACCAAATCTCAACAGCCCACTGTTGCTGGGAGGACATTCGAGTTATGAAAACAAACCACCTTTTCAGTGATGGCCCCGAGACTGTGGGATAAACTATCTGTGAGTCTGTTTAGGGACACTTGTGTTTGTCTGTATTGTTTTTCTACTTTTTTGTTGTATGTCATAATTCATTGGCCTGTTTTCATTTAGGCCTATCTGTTGTTATTTATTTTTAATTGTATAACTTTGTTTGGTACTTTGGTCAACTTTGATTGTTTTTAAATGTGCTTTATAAATAACAGTGACTTGACTTGATGAGGACAGTCTCAGAAAGTGATTACAGGCTCGAATTTTATGATTTGGGCTTAAAAGTACACTTAATTGAAAATCTTTCTTTTTAATTGTATAACTTTGTTTGGTACTTTGGTCAACTTTGATTGTTTTTAAATGTGCTTTATAAATAACAGTGACTTGACTTGATGAGGACAGTCTCAGAAAGTGATTACAGGCTCGAATTTCATGATTTGGGCTTAAAAGTACACTTAATTGAAAATCTTTTCTTCTGGTATTACATTGTTATTCCAACAGCACTTTGTGTTTAGATTTTTGTTGAGCCTGTCTAACATTCATTACAAAATAATTGTAGGTTATTTGTCCCGTATGATATATTTTCACTGAAGCGGAACTACACGCAGTTGTGTTTTGACACGTCAGCTGTAGGAGCCGGACACATTTAGACGTCGCACGCGCCGCGCTTCCTCGTCCTTCTGTGTTTTTGATGTTCACTGCTGTAATCAGTTTTAACTCAAACGGTAGTCATTTTCTTATTTTTATTAAGATGGCGCCAGTTAGAGATTGAATAAACACAGAATAAAATCGGGTTTCCGGTTGAATGGCTCCGTAATTCAGCCGTTTAGTTCTGTTTTGTTAATTTGGCATGCTGTCATCATCACCAGGTATGTATGAATCATATTACTGCTTGTCTTTTACTTTACTTTTTCACCACATACATGCCCTTTGTATGTCTTTATATTTGCCCTAATTATTCTACTGGAATATACATATATTGTATCGTTTTGTATATGTAAATTAAATGAATCTCCTTATATTTTTAGGCTAACATAATAACTGGTAAATTAATGTGGACAGCTACACATTAATTGATTTATCTGCTCTATAATAAGCCTTAATTGCTTTCTGCCAGAGACTGATGGTGTCAGCGAGCCAAACAGTGTGCACACATTGTATTAGTTTATGACTTTTTTTCACACAGTGGTCGGTCAGTTTGTCTTTTTTTGCTTGTACTTTACCATACGGTATATCCTCCTGAGAACCAAGGAAAATATTTTTTTCCTAATCATATTTTTTTGTGATTCCAGACCTGTTCAGGGTTAAAAAACCATCCTACAATTCACACATTTTTATTTTTATTTTTTATTTTTATTTTACAGCATGTCCACTGTAGTAGACGACAGGATCATTTGAGTACGAAAACAGACACATTTGGTAGATACAAATTTTACCAGATTATAGAGTTTTTTTAACTAAGAATACATACATTTTGGGCTGTAAATTGACTATTATACAAGAATGCAGACATTTTGATTATAAAATAGACACATTTATCATTCTTGAACACTTTTCCTTACATTTTGCAAATATATCTTTACTATTCAATCCTTTTATTGGTCCCCTTTAATCCTTGAGTTATTTGAACAATGAACATAGAACTAATGTGAAACTGATTTTTTGGGGATTTATTTCTTCTGTCAAACTGAATCCAATCTAGTTTTTCTTCACTCTTCATTTTGTTCTTAGTATGTTCTTTGTTAGTGGTGATAGTCCTGGAAGCAATTTCTCTTTTTGGTAATGCAGAGGAACATCTTGCATTTGGTACATCTCATGTACGTCTTGCTCTTGCAGCCCTTATTTCTGCATCTTTCTGCATGCTTGGTATCCATCATCTCAGGCATGTGCATGGCTCCTAGTCTGCGCACAGATGGCTCTGGTTGTGGGATCCTCATTTTAGATGGTGGCTCATACTCATCCTCACTCTCTTCCCAGCTGTTATCCAGTTCCGGACTCTCCAACAGCTCTTCAGCTAGGACTAATTTGAAGTCCAGGTACTGATGTGTGTTCTTGGATGCTCTGTGCAGAGCTTTGCTGTCAGACTTGTATTGTATCCAGGAGTTTGTGATGGCAACATCAAAGAAGTGACTGATCACACGCGATGTCCATTTCTTGGTCCTGCTTGACATACGATAGAAGCTAAGCATGCGATCACAAAGATCCACGCCACCCATGTTGTCATTATACTGCTTAATTACTGCTGGTCTTTTAACCTGGACCATGTGCTTTTCTTTCTTGGACCATCTGGTACAGATGTCTTCTGGGTCTTTCCCATGTACAGTGGATGCCATGAGCACTGGTTTGTTGTCGAACCATTTTGTGATGGCCAGCTCAGGACTCTTTCTGGCCACTGACACTGATGTTCCTCTCCCCTCTTTTTTCAACTGTTTGTCTTCTGGCAGCTGGCACAGCTTTGGGACACGGTTCTTCATTATAGTTCCAGTTGCAGGAAGGCCCTTTGCCAGCAATGCATCCAATAGATCTATGGTTGTGAAGTACCTGTCGAAGAATATGTGGCTTCCTTTTGGAACAGATTCAACCATGCGTAGAACTGCTGCAGCTCCAACTCCTAACCTTTGGACTGTAAAGGTATTCTTCCCTTGGTAGACTTCAAAATCAAGCATCAGACCATTTGGGGATGCGAGGACAAAGACCTTTAGGCCAGTAGGGTTTGGCTTGCCAGGAACATATTGCCTGACTGGACAACGGCCTGTGAATGGGATGATTTGCTCATCAATGCAGACCCTCTCTGGTTTTGCAAGGCTGAGACAGCCTTGCCGTACACGATCGAGTATTGGCCTAACTTTCCAAAGAATATCTGCCTTCTTTGTTTCCTCTGTTACAGCCAGGTCATTGACAATCTTGAGGGAGTTTCTTATCCTGAAGAATCTATCCCTAGACATTTTGCTACTTATGACTGGCACTTTAGTTTTTTTGGCCCAAAACATTTTAATTCTGGGATAGCCAAGGCAGGCCATGTGGACTGAAATGCCAAAGAAGATTTTTATTTCTTGTGGTGTAGTGTTCATACACACTCCTCTGCTTTGCAGCTCTCTTTGATTTGTGTATGTTGCCAAATCTTCAAAGACCTTGTTGTCAATGTACTGTGAAAAGTATTCAATTGGACTCCAGTCTGCACGTGTTGTAGGGTCATCTTGACACACAGGAAGCCCAGGTAACACAGGTGCAAATCTGATATGAAGGGAAAAAAAGATTAATAAATGATAAATAAAAACTCAATGCAGCTAAATTTAAAATTGTGGAACTGCATCAAACATACATATTACTCCTGGCCCACAGGGGGCGTCGAGTTTCCTGCTCATCCCTGTCTGTGTCTGACTCTGTGTCTGCATCTGTCCCTTCAACTGAGCCTTCTGCATCATCTTCATCTTCTTCATCACCGTCTTCTCTCACTGGTTGAAACTCATCCTCATCTCTCTCATCATCTGACAACTCTAAATCTGAATCTCCCTCGACTATTTTGTAAAGAATTCTTTCTGCTTCAGTTCTGTTTCCTATAAAAATGTGGAGTCATTATTTACATGAAGATAGTCCTGATGTCCACTATAGTTGACATTCATAAAATGGCAAATTTTTCAAAAGATACATAATGTATTTGCTATCAGAACTAAATATATGATTCCTAACACCTTAATGAACAAGAAAATATATGATTATCATAGTAACAAAACCATAGACAAACAATATTTGACTCACCTCTTATCTTTCCATAAAATGTGCTTGTTCCTATGCCGTCCATTTTGGATTGAAAGATAGAGGGGGTTCCCGGCCTCCCAGCCAATCAAATAACATATCATTGAAAAGCCCAGGATGTCCTCTGTACAGTACAGCAGGAATTAAGAGACTAGCACAAAAGATTTAAAGGAGAGGGATGAAACTCAAATGTCCACTACGGTGGACATAAGTCAATGGGCTGGGTCTCAGGAGGATATAAACTACAAGACATTTTAAATTCAACATTCAATTTTCCGTGGGACCCTGAAAGTGTCACCTTCACCTTTCACCCCAATAATGACTGACTGTCTCAATTTTTAATTTCTTTACAAACTAATTGCACAGGTGTCTGCTTGTCATATGCAGCGTGTGTATAGTGTGCACAGCACACATGATGAGCGTCATATCATCATTATAGTCAGTCAGAAATTCACTTGACCAGCTGTTTGATCAAGTGCAGTCCATATATCACCACTGTTGGCTGTTTGCATCCGCATATTCAGAATGACAAGACGTACTAGCATTAGACAAACCTGTTGGTTCAATATTGTATTGTAGTTTTTTTGTTGTTGCTGCAGCCTTTCTTTCCATAACTTGCCTGCTTTCAAATAGTGGGATTTACATAAATGAACATATTCATGGGGGCTTCAGAGACTTTCAGTTAATGCCTGTTTTGCTGTCTCAGTAGTTCTCTCTCATCTTTTTTTGCAGGTTTGTTGAGGGCACAGCGGGTTTGATGCCCACCGCTCCAAAATGGAGCATTCAGATTTGATCACACATAAGAACGGGCGGCAGCGGAAGCTGGCGGGTGCCGCCCTCTCTCCTGAACACATGAGAGACATGGACAGGGGAGAGATGAGCTCCTCTGAACCAGAAGTGGAAGAGGAGGCAGAGGGTCTTATCAAAGGGTCTGACTCTGAGGACAGGAGGCACAGAGTCCGTCCTGGGATCCGTGGCGAGTTAGGGAACGTGTTGCTGCTTCTGTTCCTCTACGTGCTGCAAGGGATTCCTCTGGGACTGGCTGGTAGCATCCCTCTGATCTTGCAGAGTAAGAGTGTCAGCTATAAAGACCAAGCCTTTTTCAGCTTTGTCTTCTGGCCATTTAGTCTCAAGCTTCTCTGGGCGCCACTGGTGGACGCTCTCTACTTCAGCAGGTTTGGCAGAAGGTAAGAAGGACACGTGTATACTGTTAATGTAGATGTTTTCATCTGTGTGGATTCTTTTTGCTGCCCTTATTTCTCTCCACTGTCAATCCTCCCACCTGATTTCTGCAGAAAGTCATGGCTGGTGCCCACACAGTACCTGCTGGGCCTCTTCATGCTCTACCTTTCCATGACGGTCAATTCACTGTTGCAGAGTGAGGGAGGACCGAGTGTGGTAACACTTACTGCAGTCTTCTTTATGCTTGCCTTCCTGGCAGCCACACAGGTAGGAAATCATGAACACTGTGTCACAAACACATATTCAGGAAGAGAAATACATTCAAGTAGATCATTTCTGTGCCATTCGTCAAAGGCTGTATCTTCTCTGCCTCAAAGGACATAGCTGTGGATGGCTGGGCCCTGACTATGTTATCCAGAGAGAATGTGGGCTATGCTTCTACATGCAACTCTGTGGGCCAGACAGCTGGCTACTTCCTGGGGAACGTGCTCTTTCTGGCCCTGGAGTCTGCAGACTTCTGCAATACATACCTCAGAATAGAGCCCAAGGACACAGGCATCGTCACCTTGTCAGGTATTACCTATCCTTGACCTAATGGATTAACAAGATAAATTATAATTCATGTGATACTTTACAACGCAACAGTACTTTGGGGGATGGAAGTGAATTTCCTAATGCTTTCTGTTCTTCCGCTGTAGACTTCTTGTTTTTTTGGGGAGTGGTCTTCCTGGTTTCCACCACATTGGTTGCCATCATTAAAAGGGAAAATGAGCACAGCAAAGGAAAGAAGAGGGTGCATGAGGAGACACAGGGTGTCATGGAAACCTATAAGCTGCTGTTCTCTATCATCAAGATGCCCACAGTCTTCACCTTCTGTGTCCTGCTTCTCACTGCTAAAGTACTTAGTACTTTAAATATTTGTTTTACCTTTTGAAATATAAGTTTGAAAGTGTTGCTTTTGCATGTTTGCTGCTTAACATTAAGTATTCATCGTGAATGAGGAGATTTCTCGTGTGTCTTCTCTCAGATTGGCTTCTCCGCAGCAGATGCAGTGACGGGTCTGAAGCTGGTGGAGGCTGGAGTTCCCAAGGAGCAGCTGGCATTGCTGGCAGTGCCCATGGTGCCCCTGCAGATCCTACTACCTGTGATCATCAGTAAATACACAGCAGGTCCCAGACCTCTGGATGTCTTCTACAAGGCCTTCCCTTTCAGGTTATAACACACACACAGGGGCACATAAACCCATGCTTACACACATTCGGTAAGCTAAACACTAACAGAATGGTGTTGCTTTGTGGTGGCAGGTTGCTCATAGGACTGGAGTACGCTCTGCTGGTGTGGTGGACCCCCAGTGTAAAACATGAAGGAGGGTTACCTCTTTACTACTACGCCATAGTGCTTGTTAGCTATGCACTGCACCAGGTTTGTTTTTTCTGTTAATTTCTTTATTGTCTTGTTTTTCTTTTCTGTCTCTAGCACAGTCTTTTAGCACAGTTTTTTCCAGGTGACAGGAACTCGCTGAAATGAGCAAATATGACTCTGATTGAGCACAGCAGGCAGTTGGTTGCAATTTGTCATTGTTAGACATGTTAGCGGCATGGTCCTTGGAAATACTCTGTTGAGATGGTAAACATTATACCTGCTTAACAATAGCATGTTAGCATTATCATTGTGAGCATGTTCGCATGCCGAAGTACAGCCTCAGAGTGCATGACTCTTGTTGTTTGGCTTTATTACTGTAGGAATTAAAAGGAAATTCTGTATGTAATCTATTATGTTGTAGACACACTAATGGATGTTAACGTCTCATTTTTTAGGTATAATGCACAGGTACATAAAGGCCAACAAGTAGTCTTTTTCTATGAACCTTATCTCATTTCCTCTCTCTGCCCCCAGATGTCACTGTGCAACAGAAATAAATCTAAAATCTTGTTTTTTTTTGTTATCCGGTCATGAGGATCCACACAACAGTTAGAAACATACAGTTGATGTGACAGGAATGAAGTCTTTAAATGTCATGATCAGTTTGAACAAATGCTTCTCATGTTGCTACCCTCAGGTGGCGTTGTACAGTATGTACGTGGCCTGCATGGCCTTCCATGCCAAAGTGAGTGACCCCCTCATCGGCGGCACCTACATGACTCTGCTGAACACAGTCACTAACCTCGGTGGAAACTGGCCGTCCACTGTGGCTCTGTGGATGGTGGATCCACTGACCTCTAAGGAGTGTCAGGGGGCCGTCGGGCAGAGCTGTGGCTCTCCAGACGAGGCAGGGGTAAGTAAGCACGGGGAGAGGGGGAGAGGGGGAGAGGGGGAGAGTTGGGGGGGGGGGGGGGGGGGGGGATATGCACAGCAGTGTATGTGATTACCTAGACTTTATAAATGAGCAATTCTTCTTTTGTGTCCCTGTCCCCTTCTCCAGCTGTGCGTTAAGGAGGGCGGTACTTGTGTGACAACACTGGACGGCTACTACGTGGAGTCGGTGGTGTGTGTTGTGATCGGTTTGGCGTGGTGGTTGTGGTTGGGGAAGAAAATGAGGCGGCTGCAGGAACAGAGCCCCGCTGCATGGAGGTGCAGAGCTAATTAGTGATGACACTGTATCAGCAGTACCACAGAGTCTTTATTTTTCTTGCAGCTCTGCATACTGTGCTCCAACTATGACTGAATGGCGGACACACGGTCATTCCACTCTAATCCATCTGGTTTTGTCCCTCTGGTCCTTCTCTAGCTGCTACGTTCAGAAAACCCTCACACTCACACTTTCTCACCTCTGTCACCTTAAAGTACATAAATCTTACGGAAGACACCATTGTCTCTCTGGAGCTATAAATCCATCTCATTGTTACTTGTGCTACCTGTGTTTGTGCCCTGAAAACTCCCAACAACTGGTCAGACTAGTTAACTTTTGCAGAAATTTTTTTTCTTTGTTCGTTCTGAAACCATATTCTGCTGCTTAAAACAGCCTAACCAAACCAGAGCCGAGTCAAAGGATATGGTTAAATCATTTTCTGGGTTTGTATTAACCTGCTTGGATATCCAGATTGTTGAGTTAACTGTGTGCGAAGTACAAATTAAGCTGTTCTGTGCAGTGTTTGCCTTTTGCCCTAAATAGCTTTAAGCTTTAGTAAACTCAGCACTTCAGACCGACTTGTTTACCTTCCTGGCCAGTCACCATTTCATCTATATTAAAGGGATACTTAAGGGAAAAGAAAAGCAAAGCATACAAATGCACTTCTTCGAACTGACTGTATGCACTCAGTTTGAGTTTGACTTCAGACTATCTGAACTGTCCTGATGCTGTTTAACTCAACCCATCTGTGAATCCAAATGATTTAAACCCAGTGTAAAGAACATCTTTCTCTGCTGTTGGACTCAGATCTGAACCAATAATTATTTAAATTTCTTTCCTCTGAAATAATGTGTGCCTTGTTTAGTTTTTCAAAGTCTCTAGAAGCCAACCTTGTTTGAGCTGCAGTGAAACACAGGCAGGGAATATTACAGTCATTTGAAAATGAAGCACTGAAAACGATGAATACTCATTGCGTAACACTGTTTTCATTTATATGCTGTAATTTGGTAGTTTACACAAAACATGCCTGCTTTCGTTACTGTAGTTGATTCTCTGTTTCTACACACACATTCCTTACAAAGATTTTAATTTGCACAGTGATTTATGGATAAGATATCAATATATAATATGACCAATATCACCAATGGTTAAATTAATGTCTAAGATATTAAATGTTTTTTGGTTGGAGTAATGTTTTTATTTTTCCACACTTTACTTAAGTAGCAATACTGGACAGTGCAGCTTTTAAGTTTTGGAACATCTTGTTTATCAATTGGGCCTGGTTGGTAAGTTATTTTTAGGTCACAAGAAGAAAAATAATATTCACAATAAACATGCATATTTCTTTTTTTTGTTAGATTTATATACACGTTATTGAGACACGTTGCATGCTAAAGGCCAATATACTGTAAACTAACTACTAATGCAACATACGATTACAGGAGTCCTAATTAAAACACCATTTGCAGTGTAGATGAAGGGTCCCTTAGCAGATCCCATCTGAGTGGGACATTACCACCAGCCTGAAAAGTATGCAGGTGAAAGAAAACAATTCAGATGCCAGACCAGCAGCCTTGGCGAGAAACTCGATAAGCCAATGCTCTGTTTGTTTTGCATATTGTACAATAGAATTGAATGTTACAGTATTTTCTCCAAAGCCAGCATTGAAAAGAATCCAACGGCTCTGTCAAATGTAAATGCTGAAGCACACAATCAGGGTTCATATGAGGACACAAGAGGAAAATACTGAATTTTTATCACATTTTGCATAGTTTCTGATTTCGATTGCTGTCTTTGTGAATCGACGTAAAATGTCAAACGTCTCCAGATAATGGTGGTTATTTTTTCTCTTTTGTCCGCCGATTCCTGTGAAATGCAATTAGTCCCTTATGCTGTACATTAAACTCACACTGGGCAACTCCTATTAGTTTCCATACTACATGGTGTTGCTGTGATGTTTTTTAGGCCTTTCATGTTCATTTGTGCCAGTACAACACTGTAATGTCACAACAATCCATCCTTAGAGCCTTTTGCCAATAATAGGGCAACACTACGTTTTATGTTTTGATTTTTTTGACATACTAAACTGTGTGACCGTTCATTTACAGCAACATGTGTGTTAGGTTTCATAATGTGGTTTTTAGGATTTGACTTCAGTTTCTTAAAAAAAAAAAAAAAGGCTTTTAAGTGGTGGTGAACTATTATTTCAGCTACAGAGAATTTAATGCATCTTGAAATGTTACCTCACAAACCTTTTATTGAAGACTTTTGTTTTATGACAATTAGTGATTTTGTTTTTTTTTTAAATTGCACAACTTTTGTTTACATCTGAATCCCCAATCATATAAAGGATTGCAGTGTGACAGTATAGCGATACATTTAAATATATTAGCAGCAGTGCTCTGATGTTTTGATAATGAAGTTGGACATTCATAAGATCCAATGTTGAAAAATAATGTAATTTAAAACATATGTAGTTTGTTTTTCCTGAAACTTTGAATACAGATTATAAAGAAAAAAACACGACGCACTCTGTTTTTTACATTTTATTGTAATTTTCCTTGCTTTTCAGGATTTCTAAAGTTTCCCTCCTAAACAAGTGAACGCTGATGCAAGAGGTTATAAATGCTGTCCCATGTTTTTGGAGAATTAAACCCCACAACTGCAGACAGTGTCCAGATCAACTGGTGCCACGGTCTCTAATTTGAGATCACTCCAGGGAGTCCCCATCACCGCCACGGCCCACAGTCTCTTGGGTGGCTGGTGTGGGGTCATACACAAAGCAGCACCATGACCAGTGTGAGGTTTTGGGTGGTGATGGGAGAAGTGAGGCGCTAATGTGGCATCAAGCTGAATTATGCCTGGTGATGCGTCAACTTATCCAGTGATAAATCCCTGTGTCATACGCCCGAAGAGCAGATAATGTGAATGAAGTATGGGTCCCACATCAAACACGCCAATCCATAACACCAATGCCGAAAGAATGTAAAAAGTCAACATGTTTTTTTTTTTTTCTTGTTTAATTGAGGCTCTCTGATTCATCGTTGATGTATAGCACAGTTAATACATCCATTTTGTAAAACATCATAAGACATTAAGCTATATTCATCAATATCAGAACCTCTGCTTGTCCGCTGCTCACAATGATGATTTCTTTGATCTTCAATAGTAAACCTAATTCATAACATTTCATTCAGAACCAGGAAGCATCTGTTTAAGAACTCTCAAAATCTCCCCATGGAAGCAACTTCCTTGCTGGCATTCATTCAAACAGCACAAAGCAGCACTTTGGACGCCGTCTTGAATTGAGGCCAACAGCATTTTTAGAGTAGATCGTTTGCATACTGTGTGATACATTATCGCCTTTGATTTCCAATTCGCACAAAGGCTGTAGGCTCCTCAAAACATTTCCAGTCCTACTAGTCCAGTTCAGAAGACAAAGGTCATAAGACCTGAGGTGTCAGAGGAGTGGTGGTGAGACAATGATGTTGTCGGTAGCACTTTTAACTGCAGCACGCTGGAATCCCAGACCCATGCACAAACTCCCAAGTTGTGACAGTATATGTAGTGTGCTGATGTGCAATTTTGGGATTCTAATTGTCTCTAGCATCCGTATCTTTTTGCTTCATTTCTTAAAAAATATCAACAAAGAAAAAAAAAAAACAGAAATAAACTCTCCTAAAGAGGCGCGGTGGGTCATAGGTTCATACGTAGATGTTCTGGCCGTTTGGCCATGACGGGATAGGTTTGCTGCTTCATCTGAGCCAGGTTGACCCCGGCAGGCTGACGGATGGGAAGAGGGGCCGAGGCCTCGGAGCTTGTTGTGACGTCCATTTGCTCTGGGGTGGACAGCTCCATGGCCTGGTCCTGAGGTGACTGGAGGACGCTTGGTCCTCCGCCGGGAAGGAGGGGGCTCCGGGCCCAGCACTCCCCCCCCTGAGAACTTGACTGGGCTGAAAAGACAGGAAAAGATGAGGCATTTGTAACGACATGGAAGATTTGTTGATGATGTGTCTTTCTGCTATGTTACCGACTATTTCAACAGTCTTCAGAAACCAAATTCAGCCACGTAGAACAGAACTGAGATGAGAAGTTTTAGGAGAACAGACTTCTGGGCTTAATCTATTAGTGTGCATGATAAAGCGAGCCAAAGCTCAACATTATTACTGAATAGACAACATGTATATTATTATTTTCATTATGTAGATTAAGATGCCATATTTTTCTCAATATCAGTAATTAATGTAAGGCCCAGTGTAGGAATCTGGGGGCTTACCAGTCAAGGACGTCAACCAGTACACAATGTCAGACATTTGTCTCCCTAGTGCCTGCTGCAGACACGCCGACATACCTGAGGGGGGTTCTTGGGCTGTCCATGATCCGTCGAGGGGAGCGGATCTTTGGCTCAAATGAGAACTTTTCTTTGATGTTTTCCAGGACTGATGGAGCGACATACGTGAAACCCTACAAGAACAAAGACATCAGAGATAAAACACAGGTACGGTTGGGGAACATTTGAAAGGCAGAGCTAGCGCTAGGAAGAAATCATCAATTACGGAGCCAGAAGCAGCAGCGTGATCCAGATCTAACTGGCCAAAGAGCTCCAGCTGACTGGTTTGGTTTCTTCTTATTATGCACACCAGAGTTGTCTTATTGATTGAATATATGACAATACAAACTTATATTGCGGCAAAATGGAAGAATTACATGTTTATCATGAAAACCTGTGGTGTTTTTGTTAACATTAAATAACTGAAAAGAGAAGTAAACAGAGTTTTCCATGCTTTATAACAGAGGATAAGAATGCAAAATGCAACATTTCAGTACAAGCTTATGAATCACTTCTTTGCATGTAAAAGGTTCTGTGATTTCTCACCGTGTTCCTGAAAACATGAACCTTTGGGGAGTTTTTCTTTTGTGATCAAGAGACACTGCCAATTTAAAATATCAACGAGCTGTCAGAGAAAGATGGGGAAATGTAGTCCGAGAAGTTACCAGGAAGGCTTGATTCGCACTCTCACTGAGGGTCGAGTCATCCGGGCTGTCGACTGGCGTCTGACTGGTGAACTTCGAGTCAAACTGACTCACGTCTTCAGCTGATTGCTGAGAAGATGGAAGAGAAGGCAAACACAGGTGAGGAGGTGCGGCAATATAAGTAAGATGTGTCGACTAACAACACGTGGGTATGAAACAAGAGAGGACCCTGGTTCAGTTACCGAAACATATTCAGTTTCGGGCTGCAACTAATCATATTTTCACCGTGAATTATTTTCTCAATTAACTGATTAGTTGTTTGGTTTATAAAATGTCATATCAGTATTTTGCAAATCCCAAGATTACATCCTCAAATGCCTTTTTTTGTCCACAACCCAAAAATATTCAGTTTAATGTCATAGGGGAGTAAAGAAGCCAGAAAATATTCACATAATGGAACTGGAAGGAGCTAAGGAGCTTGAATCAGAGAATTGTGACTTTTTTCCTTAAAAAATAACTCAAACCGATGATCAAAATAGTTCAAGATTAATTTAATAGTTGACAACTAATCGATTAATGATCGCAGCGCTAATTCAATTGGTTTCATCTGAGCAGGCAACCAGAATTAAACCCTTCTGGATTTCACAATCCAAATTTGTGAGCTGACAGAGATCTAACTTAAACATTTAACCTTCTTATATTTCCCACCCTAAGACTACAAGTAGAAGTATCCGATTCAGAATTTCCCAGTGCTCTGCTCAGATACTCACCAGAAAAGGTTTGAAGGGAGGCTCCACTTTTCGAGCCAGCAAATCCTCCCAGTTGATGTGTCGAAAGAAGGGATGAGCCTATGGGGTATCAAATGCAAACAAGAGTGTTACTGTATGAACAGACGACCATAAAACATAGCCTCTCAGTCTGGGAAAACTTAAAACAAGTTGCCATTCATGCACCCACAGCTTTTTCCAATAAATCAGAGTGTGAGTACAAGCAAATCATAAATAACTTCCATACACAATGTTAAAATGAGTATTTTTCCCTGCGGGTGTTGCAGCTGCACAGATGAAAATATTAGGTAATAATATTTTAGTATTTTGTAAGTCATGCTCCTTAGGGCACTGTAATTTTGGCATATAAAAGCAGTATACTGGTGTTCAGTGCTCAGTAGGAGTTGGTGTGTTGTGTCGTCCAGCCCCTGCACGTTCTCACCTGCACCTCTGTGGCATCTCCAGTTCCCGCTCCCAGCCGTGACGAGGCGTTTCTCTTCAGCAACTGTACAACCAGCAGTCAAAAGTCAGAAGAATACACAGCACACAGCAACCCCACACTTATTCTGGATAAACACAAGCGGCGTACGCTTTAAACAAACAGGAGATACCCGCTTCAGAAGATCTCTAGCTTCTTGTGTGAGGTAGGGCGGGAGGCTGAGCTTACACTTCAGGATTTTGTCAATAGTCTTTTTTCGGTTTTCACCAGTGAATGGTGGCTACAGCGGGAAAAAGAGATGCATATTTTATAACAGTGCATAATAGTGAGAGAGAAGTAGAAACTTTTTTTTTCATATGTTGTAAATGTTTAACTGACCGCTCCTGTGAGCATGTCGTACATCAGAGCGCCCAGACTCCACCAGTCCACGGCTCTGTTGTGTCCGCTTCTCATCAAGATCTCGGGGGCCCTACAACAAGAAGGTGAGTGCACATTTCTTACTAATGAACTAATGTCAAGGAGTCAACGGTAAGCATGACAGAAGGAGGAGAAGCATGTTTGTATGTGAGAGAGGGAGAGAGATCAGGAAGAAAATGAGAGAGCGCTTTTTGTGTTAACAATTGTATACACTATGATTTCCTGCTGTGAATCTATTCTGTACATGACATATATTGCATCTCTGTCTGTCCTGGAAGAGGGATCCCTCCTCTGTTGGCGTTCCTGAGGTTTCTACAATTTTCCCCCCCGCGGTTAAATTTTAAATTTGTTTTTTTTGACAGAGGGGATTGTATGCTGTACAGATTATAAAGCCTCTTGAAGCACTTTGTGATATTGGGCTATATAAATAAAAATGACTTGACTTACATATATTCAATGGTACCACAGAAAGTGTGGGTGACTGTGCCGTCGTGAATTGACTCTTTACACAGCCCAAAGTCTGTCAACTTTACATGGCCTGAAAGGAAAAACAAAAACACATATTCAGTAATCATTTACAATCCTTTTCACCCCTTTGTGGTGAATATACTGGACAAAAATTGCATTCAGTCACGATAAGACCTTTATTTACTTATAGTCATGAGGCATGCGTGATATTTGTGCATATGGATGCTTATGTTATAAGGTTAAATACTGTTTCTTTTTTTGGACATATGCAGGAAAGGTCTGAGCTCATTTCTTGCGTGCGCGCACACACACACACACACACACACACACACACACACACACACACCTTGGTTGTTGAGCATGATGTTCTCAGGCTTTAGGTCTCTGTAGATGATGCCCTTCTGGTGCAGATGGCCCAGAGCCATGGAGATCTCTGCCAGGTAAAAACTACACAAAAAACAAAACAAACAATGAACATATTTAAATATCAACTTCATGCCAAGAAACAGCACTTTACTTCTAAATAAGGAACTGGTCTGTTTAACCGACTGTCATTTTACTGGTGAGAGTTGACTGGTAAGAAGTTTCATATACTGTACCTTGAGTTTGAAAATGGTTAAACTGCTGATCAAAACTGCGTTTGAGGTTTCCTGAGGTGCAATTTTAACAGACGCCTGCCAGCCAATCAGAAACGGGTATTTTCCACAGTGATGCCGATAGTCCTGCCAACATGTCTGTGCATCCCTATTTACTATGAAGATGAACAACGCTCACCAGGCTGTGTCTTCCATGAAGATGCCCTCCCTCTCCAGCTGCATGAAGAGTTCCCCTCCTGCACAGGTGAACACATGTTTATGCCATTAACATGGGTGACACGCATATGTAGGTTCCCACCATCCCCAAAGGTTAGGCTGTGTGACTCTTACTACTGACTACCCCGGAGGAGACAAGTAGAAAGTTTAGCTGCCTTTCTACTTATTAGATAGTCTGTTTTGGCACTGACCCACAAACAGAAACCTGATTCCTTCTTCATGAATCACACTATTAATAGACTGCCATACATAAGATAGAGCAAGATTATACTTATGCCATTTGATGGAAAGGAGAAATGAGAAGCCAAGCTACAACCTGTACTGCAATATTTTTTTGTCATTTTGCCAGTGTGTATACGAGAGGTAGAGAAAAACAAAGGTGTGAGAATTTGATACAGAGAGACTGTCGGTGTGTGTGTGTATCCTAAGTTTGTGTGAATGAATCAACAGACTTATGATAAAGTTATGCAATCTGATTATTTAAGCTTATCTAATTTAGACTGTAGACACAATTAATCACAATAGCAAACACTAAAATACAAGCAGCGTTTTCACACTTACTCTGCATGCGTAAATCTTCCTGCAGAATGAGTGTTTGGAGTGGACAGACTTTATTGTCCCTGAGGGGCAATTTGGTTTGCAAACAGTCGACACAATAAAAAGAAAAAAACGCATAAGTACATATAATAACTCTACAACAGATGCAATCAGAATAAAGTTGCAATGAGCTATAAAAGCACTAAGAGTCCACGACTCCTCTGTTAAAGTGTGTATGCAATAGCAACTAGAAATACAGTTTGTTTAAGAACCCAACAGCTGAGGGAACAAATGATCTCAGATAATTGTTTGACTAGGCCCTCCCAGGGGAAAAAAAACTGTACCTCCTCCCTGATGGCAGAAGTCAAAATACTGCATGGAGAGGGTCTGAGTGGCTCTAACTTGATAAACCTGGCCAAGATCATTCAAAGCGGTGCCAATGGTCCAGTTGTGTGTCTATGTGTACATTTCTGGTACTAACCACTCAGGTACTCCAGAATGAGATACAGCTTCCCTCCAGTCTGGAAGGCGTAGATGAGATCAACAATGAAGGGATGCTTCACTTCCTCCAGGATGTTCCTCTCTGCCTTGGTATGGGCCGTGTCCTTGGCGTTGCGCACAATCATAGCCTGGTGTGTCCCCACCCCACCCCCGAAAAAGCATATCAACGTTAAGTCATGTTTTGACCCATGCAGATGTGAAATGCTCCAAACAACATTTCCTGCCAACAGGCTTTGTGTCGCTGCCTGACGAGCTGCTTGCTCGTTTGCTCTGCATGACTAATAGAGACAAGTATTCCACTATACAACATCTGAGAGGCAGTGGTTGAGCTGGGCAATTTAGGCAACTATGTCACTGAGATAGACGAGCGCCAATTCTTAATTATTGCTAATGTAGTTTAATGAATAAACAAAGTTCAACAAGGCAGATCATACTACTTCTACATTTTTATTAGAAATTATGCTCAGACAGCGACAGGCCTTTACTACTCTAAAACTATACTAAATTTTTTTTTTATAATAATAATAAATATATATATATATATATATATATATATATATATATATATATATATATATATATATGTGTGTGTGTGTGTGTGTGTGTGTGGATTACAATCCTATAGAGTTTACTGGTGTCAATAGACTGATCACTATTGTGGTTTTCTATGTACAGTGCCTTCTGTTCCGCTCCTTTCTACTGCTCCCGGTTCTGTTTATGTTTGCTAACCACTTCTGTGCTGAAGAGCTTTATGTCAGCAATAATGTTGTCTCAGCTTTGAGTGTTAGAACTTCGACAACAGATGGAGCTCGGGCAGACTGAGGCTGTGACAAGACCTTTGATTTTTAAAGGTGCAGTATAGCTTGCTGACTGAGATGTCTTTACATTTCTTGATCACGTTTTGCTTAGGCCGAATACGAATTAGGGACTGTGTTCAGTCCCTTCTCACTCACAAACGGGGCTTTTGTTCACTTTACTGGACGACCAAAAACAGTAACTAATCGTCATCTATTAATGCAACCCTTGTAACTGCTCTACTATGCTACTGGCCATTACTTCTGTTGTATAGTCTGGCCCGTGTTTATCAAGCATCTCAGAATCCCTGTAGTTCCACCTCAGAGTAGGGGGCGCACACACACAGCAAGGAATCAAAGTTCTCATTTAAGACTAAATGACATGACTGGTACATGACACTCGTATCAGCATAAAGAGAAAAATTTAGAAAAAGAAAAAGTTTTTCTCAATGGTTTCAATGTGCAGTCAACACATTCAAACACAAACAGGCTGAATTAGAAATAATGTGAAGCAGGAAAACCTATATTAATTACAGTATTATATTGCTTGTATTACAACTTAGTTTTGCCCATAGAGAGACTAAGAATATATTTGATCAAAACATATAAATTACACACTTCTGAAAAGTAAACTGCATATTTCTCTTACCACTACAGCCTGCTGGGAAGTGCAAACAGGTTAGGACAGTTCTGCAGCTCTCTGGAAAGACATGAAAATCTTCCTCGTTTGAGATAAAGTTGATAAAGTGCTTTCACTCCTAAGCCTATATGTGAATGTGAGTTTTGGGCAAGTCAGGGCTGATTTCGTACTCTGAGATGCTTCATAAATGGTTGGACTGGTTGGAATCTGGTAGGTGTCACTGGGGTCTCTTTAGCCAATCAAGCAGAAGCAGTGTGACTATCAAGCTGAATCTAACAGGCTGAGGCAGAGAGTTTTAAGTGCCAAGGCTGCAGCAGGACATATGGCAATCTACCAACAAGCAGTGAAATCTTACCCCACCACAGGCTTCGAGGGCAGCCAGTATTTGCAGACAGAAGCACCATAATGTTTGTTTGTAATAACAAGCATACAATTATATTCATAGGATACAAACTGAAGGCAGCTGTACATAACTCTAATTGAAGTGACTGAAGCTGGATTGTATTTCGGCATTGACAAGGGCAAAAAATTAAGTACCTTTTTTAAAACTTTCATGGCAAATATTTTGCCCGAAGCGGCTCCAACAACTTTTCGAACTTGAAAAACCTGCACAGAAGGGAAAGCATAAAATAATCAAATCAACAGCTGAAGGAATTCTGACTCAAAATCACTCTGTACTTCACATTACAGAGGGAATCTACAGGAGTGTGTGCATGTTAAGTGAACTTTCTCATGTATTTTCTTAAGACTTGCTGCTGCTTCTCTACAACAAGTACCTTTCCATAACCACCTTTCCCCAGGACCCGCAGCAGCTCAAAGCACTCCGGTCTGATGTTCTCCGTCCCCTGATTGACGTTGTCCTCTGATATCTCAATCTTCTCGCAGTCGTCCATGTTGCTGCAGAGGCACATTTAATGCATTGTCCTCACACTTTCATGAATTCAATTGCAAAAATCACACAAACACAGGTGGACATATTGAATACTTACAACTCAAATCCACTGCACTGGTCCATGATATTGATTTGAGCCTGGAAGGAAAAGTGAAAACACAAGTTATTTAGTGTTTTTGGTCATTCTTTCTTCCATTTTTCCTTTTTTACACAATACACCTGTAGGAGCGTTCGACCTCATATGAACATTTCTGTATTTTGTAACAGAAGTGTTTCAACACAAGGAGAAAAAAAGGAAATACAGAAATGTACTATGATAGTAAAGCATTTATAAAATGTGACATCCTATACAAATAAATTCCTATCAACAGGATTATGGCTGCAATTAAATAAAGAAGAAGTTATTCAAATCTAAAAAATAAATGTACTTGAGATATAACATTTCAGCATCGCATCGCAATGTGCCCTTGCGCAATAGTCACATCGCAGAACAATGCAATGTCAAGTCAAATTAACTCAAACAACATTTTTGCTGCTTGATACAAAAGGAAAACTTGCACGGTTCTCATTTTTCATGACTCATCTACAACAGAAGTCTGCATGCACAGCAAACCACCTTTCACAATATTGTTCTTGATCAGTTTATCATATAGCCAAAACAGGCCACGCCCCCGACAACTTGAAAATGAGTGAGGAACATGAGAAAACCACAGAAACAGTGGATTTGGATGCAAAAAGAAAAGAAACTTCTGTATAGCACTCAGGGGGATGGTGTATAGCTGCTCTTTATTTTTTCCTTTAATCATTTAGTTTAAAATATGTTTACTACATTAAAGCTCAAGAAAGGATAGTTTGCATTCAAAAAAAGTATTCTGACTAAAAAGAAATATTTCAGCTTATTTATTTTTACTATCTATGTATTTCCCTTACCAAATCTCCCCAATATTTCTAGGATGCTTAATTCTTTTCAAATAGAGCACTTGAAGTCATCTGGTGAAAATTCCTGTATTTTGTCATATCGCAGAAAAGAAAAATATTGCAATGTCAGTTTTTTCCCCAATATCGTGCAGCCCTGTTTTAGATGACATCATATAACTACTGAGCTAGAATAAAACTGAATTACATTTAGAGCTGCAACGATTAATCGATTAGTTGATCAACAGAACTGCTTTTCTATGTTTTGATATCATTGTAAAGTGGATGTCTTTGGGTTTTGGGGCTGCTGGCTGAACAAAACAAGACATTTGAAGGAAAATCTGAAGGGCAATTTTCACTATTTTCGGTCATTTCATAGACCAAACAACAACAAATTGATTAATGCAGAATTTAACTGTCAGATTACCCGGTAATGAAAATAATCTCAAAAGATATACTACTGTACAAAACTTTAGACAAACTATCTACCTCTTTACAAAGTTGTTTGGTGTCACATTCACACCTGGGTGTGATGTGATACCAACAAACAAGAGCTATTATGAGGAATAGTTGCCCAATTCATACTAAATGAACATCAACATGATATTTAGCAAAAGCAGAACAGTTGTTTCTCTTAATGGAAAATATGTGTATCTCCTGTTGAGTAACGTTGCTACTCCTTTAATAGCAGGCAGTGATGGTTTTGTTGTAACAAGATACCCAATCACACTAAGTGTTGGTTGATGTTAAATGCAGTGACTGTCTGTAGTAGTTCTGTGCTGCTGCTGCTGCTGCTGCTGTGACTCTTGTGTGAACAGAAACACGCAGGCGACAGCTTTAATTAACTCCATATAGTTTCGGTCTGTCAGTCTTGCCAAAATAAACTGTTGCACACGGAGCCACATTTATCACTGCAGCACCTTTGGCCAAGTAAGGCTCTGCTTGCACAACCCCAACATGACAGCGGTAGTTTTTAGACGTGACAGCCTGAACAACGCATGCATTTTACCGCTCGCTATCGTTACTAGTAAAATAAAGACAGAACAAGTGACAGCTCTGTCATGATTGCTGTCAGGCTAAAGGCGGCGAGCTAGCATTAGCCTCGGTAAACCCTGTTTGAAAAGGCCCGAGAGCCCCGGCTGCAGGAGCAGGCCCACGGTGGCAGGCAGGCTACCAGGCTAGCTGCAGCTAGCTGCTGTGCATGAAGTGTTTCTGCTGTGAAAACTCTCGCAGCTACGTTTAACATCTTCCATCAAAGTACCTCCTCAATCTCATCGTCGGAGACATTTTCCTCCGGCTGGTCCAAATCAATGTCAAACACTCCAGCCATGGCAGCGCTTCGCTCGAATCGCTCTGTCACAGACCGCAAGGATAGCAGGCTTCCCCCACCTCATGGACAAACACACACCGCCGCCATAACCGGCTACTACACTGAGCATGCGCACTGCAACCCTCAACAAAAGGGGCGGCAACCTGAGAGGTTTGGTTTTATTTTGTCATAAAACAACAACAGCACACGGTGCATTCAGAAATATTAAATAAACCTCCTCCAATAAAGTATTCCAAATCCTGGCCCTTATCAAAAGCACCTGGATCCGGAATCCAGTCTCTGGTAACACCTCAGCTGTATTTAAACATTTATGCACGTACTCTGCTACTAAATACTGGAATGTATTATGTTTAAATGGGTTCTGTTTTCTACTAAAACCACCGTAAAAAGACAATAAATCCACGTTGAGGAAAACATCAGATGTTATGTTGTTGATGCCTGTTCAGTTAATTGCCCGCATTCTAATCACACACATCCAAATAACAATAAAGGCGAAAGGCGGGGTACTACTACTACTACTACTACTACTACTAATAATAATAATAATAATAGTAATAATAATATTAATATATCCAAATTATATTTTAAGAAGTAAAGTTTTTAGGATTTAATCATTTTTCTTTTGAACTCATCACCACCGTATCACCAGGAGTCACTTGGGTTTATCTTTTTAATACAGTTTATGGTAGGGATGCTTTAGGGAGGCTGTCTGTGGCAAAAAGAAGCCCATTTTGTGACATAAAAACCTACAAGTCATTTAGACACCAAAATATGTAAAACAAAAAAACAACAGCAACAAAATAAAATTGGGCCCAGGTTTAAAAATACCAAATGGTCCTTGAAGACGACATTTATCAGCGTGTTAACGCTTAATGGTTAAGGTTAACACCTGTGGTTACCACGGCATATTTGTACTCTTAGAGTAGTAGTCTACAGAAAACAGCAATGGTCTTAAGAGTACATAAAACAGCTTGCAAATGCTATTATTTATTTAATATATTTGATATATGACGTGTTAGATAATGCATTTTGTACATGTGAGAAAAGGTTGCTTTCGTCCTTTTGGACAGCTTCATGCACCTGTAACGTTACCGTTACAGTCGCATGTGAAGTGGAGTTTTATTTTGAAATGTTTGACCGTTTGTGCCGGAAATGCCGTTCTAACGTCTCATGGCGGCACACGACAGTACGGGCACCTCTTTTAAACCCCATACCGACAACTCCGTGGAAACAGTCATGAAACCGTTCAGTCACAGCGTGAATTCACCGGTGGATCTCACATGGTATGCGCTCATCCTCTGATCGATAAACTATCGATCCTTCAGAGAAGTCTTCATTTACATGAGTGATAATGTCCATAGTAACAGTGCAGCTCGGTCAGTGTGGTAACCAGGTGGGTCATGAGTTGTTTGACATCATCTGCAACGATGCTCGCGAGGGACAGAGGAAAGAGTACAGCACAGCCAGCTGTGAGCGATTCTTCCACCACACAGCACAAGGAGGTAAGACACCTGTTCTGTAGTCCCCTTTTCTGGATTAGGCTACATACTGGGCACACCTGTTCACCTGTCGTGTCTTCCTGTCCATTATTAACCAGACCTTGTAGCCAGGGCGGTGCTGGTCGACATGGAACCCAAAGTGATCAACCGGAGTATCAGCAGGGCTGCCAAATCTGGCATGTGGCGGTATGGAGAAACTTCACACTTCAGCCAGAAGCAGGGCTCTGGAAACAACTGGGCTAATGGGTAAGGACTGCTAACAAGAGGATCATTTTGGTAATCATGTCATGTCAATCCCAACTCAAGGCCCACTTGAGCGGTTGGTTTGCTCAGTTGATGGATCTCGGTAGCTGTTATGACCTCATCAAAAGCACTTTAAGGGCTTATCAAGATCTATTTTGCCTTTTATGTTAAGTATAACATAATTATCTGGAATTATCTGCAGATCAATTTCTAGATCAATCGAATTATCGATTTGTTTAATAAATGTTTGAAAAACAGTCAGAACCCAAGGTCATCATGTTTTCAGATGTCTTGTCTGGTCGACCAACAGTCCCAAACCCAAAGATTAGAAACGTTTACTATCATTCATGACAAAGAAAAGCATCAAATCCTCACCTTGGAGAGGCTGGAAGCAGCAAAGTTTGTTGCTGGAAAAACAGCTGAGCTCAGAAATGAAGCATTAAGGTTCATTCTTGACCTTAGAAAAAGTAGTTTGGAGGCTGGTAATGAGCTTTTTATGTCACCCTAGGTTCTGTGTCCACGGCCCGCGTCACAGAGACGTGGTGGAGGAGCTGGTGAGGCGGGAGGCGGAGCGTTGTGACAGACTGGCCGGGCTCATGGCCATGATGAGTGTGGCAGGGGGAACGGGATCCGGGGTCGGAACCTACGTCACCCAGTGTCTCCGAGACGTCTACCCCAAGTCCTTCATCCTCAACCACCTCACGTGGCCGTATGGGACTGGGGAGGTACGGACACTGCGGTCAAGTGACTAGTGTTTAATGTTAGTGTAGAATATTGTGTTATTAAACCTCCTCGTCCCGTCCTTTCAGGTGATCGTCCAGAATTACAACTCTGTGCTGACGCTAGCTCATCTCTACCAGCTGTCAGACGCCATCCTGGTGCACGAGAACGACACGGTACACAGGGTTTGCAGCCAGCTGCTCAACATCAAGCACATCTCCTTTGGCGATGTCAACAGGGTTATTGCTCACCAGCTGGGCAGCGTCCTGCAACCCGCCCTCACTGCTGACTCCCACGGAGTCTACAGCAGAAATCCTCTGGGTGAGAGGCCAAGACACACACACATGGCAGGTTTTCCACAGGGCATAGATTTCCTGGAATATCATTGGATTAGTCTATTTACCAACTTTCAAGATGTCACATTTTAGGCATAGAAGGATACAGACACACATACACAGTTATCTTCTTGGGTTACACACACAAGAAAAACGAGTGTAAATTTAGAAAATGAAAGTCACAATGCAAAATTTTTGTTAACTAGCAATACTATCATGAATGCAAATTAGAAATATGACCCATATATTACAATATGGAAACTAATTATTAGGGTGTTAAGCTGTCATCTGGTCAACATGCACTTCCAGTTGGACAGTTTGTGTTTGGTGTTTACTTGGGTGGACACGGTTGGCCCGTTGGTCAATCAAGTTCAAGCCTTCCTCTTTGAGACAAGGTAGCCGCACAGGTAGAAACTGAACTCGGAAAATGCCCTCATTATCTCAGCGTCACATCCATCTGCCACTGATTCAGCCACACCAATAGGTGGAAAGAGAGCAACTACCAACATCATCAGATCAAACCTTCATAGATTCAGTCTTGGCATTGCATGTACTCTTGTCATGTCCTAAACCTAAATGGTAGCACTCTTCTTTAATGTCTCTCAGGTGAGTTGGCAAGCGCCCTTGCATGCCACCCAGAGTACAAGCTGCTCAGTGTGTGTACGATCCCTCAGATACCCAGTTCCTCCATAGCCTACAGCACGTTCAGCTGGCCAGGCCCACTCAGACACCTGCGACAGATGCTCATCTCCAACACCAAGATGGAGGAAGGCAAGCTCTGTCACAATCTCATTGATGCACTTCACTTCAGTTTATTGACAAGATAATGGCATGTTTATTAAGTTATTGTATGGCTTGAAAGTGGAATCGTGCTCGCCTGTAACGAGTCAGAGCACCTCTGAGGGTCCTTGGTGTTTGTCCTGTGTCAGGTATAGACTGGCAGGTGCGTCCACTTGCAGACTCTGAGCGGACCAGGAGCCTCACAGGACCCAGCTTTAACACCTCTCTGGCCAACCTGCTCATACTGAGAGGGAAAGACGTCTTCAGCGCAGAGACAGGTCAGAGAACTGGTTAAAATGTCTGGATTTTTTTGTTAAAATACCTAGACTAACTGGGTCAAATAAAAATTCTTGATTTGTTACACCTGATGAATCCACAACAGTCATAAAGGACATGAACATGATGTGATTCAGAACATGTCTTACAATAGCATCTACAGCTTTCAGTTTTTAATATTTACAACTCTTCAGATGGAGAACAAGGGAATTATGTGAAATATGTTCTGCCCGTAGTTGGCTTTGAGGATGCAGCCCTGTACACCTCCTGGCTCTCATCAGAGGAGGCCTTCCACTTGTGGAAATCCCCAGTGCCTTTTAATAAGTATGAAAAATCTGCCACGCTGGTCAGTAACAGTCAGGCTCTGCTCAGACCTCTGGACAACATGGTGGGAAAAGCCTGGAATATGTTTGCTTCCAGGTGAGTTAGTCCTGTTACTCAGAGAATTGCTTTATTTATATATATATATATATATATACACACACACACGTACCCACTTTTGTTGCTGGTGGTTTAGACATTGATGGCTGTGTGATGTGTTATTTTGAGGGGACAGCAAATTTACGTTATGTAAGCTGTACACTCACTACTTTACATTGTAGAAGTGTAATTTCTTCAGTGTTGTTACTTGGAAAGATACAATCAAATATTTTCAAATATGTGAGGGGTGTACTCACTTTTGTGAGATACTGTATAAATATACATACGTACAGTCCCCTCAAAGTATTGGAACGGTAAGGCAAATTCCTTTGTTTTTGTTGTTCGGCCTCATGTTTGTCGTGTTCTGTCCATAAAGAAAAGTTTAAAACCACATTTAACCATCTGGTTTCTTCAACTTTCACTCAGGAGCAAAAATAAGCTTTTAAAGTGGAAAAGAAACAATGAAACAATGACTTGCCATTTAGTCTTTTTCCTTTCCCATGTTTTCCTCTGTTACAGGGCCTACATCCATCAGTACATTAAATTTGGGATCTCAGAGGAGGATTTTCTAGACAGCTTTACATCTCTTGAGCAAGTCATTTCCAGCTACAGTCAACTGAGCTAGAAACCACTGTTCCTTTGGACCATATGTAGACAAGAGATTACCATTATGTGGGACAACAATGAACATGTAAATAAAACTAATTCCCTGACTTTGACGTCTGCAGTGGAAAGGACTAATGCAATTTCTTTACACCGAAAGTATCACACACAAAATAGGTGCCTTTTTAAAAATTAACTGCTGTTTCCAAGGTCAACAATAATGAATGGACTCAACTTTTAAACAGACGAGAAGCCTCAGACAAATGGACAGGTCAACATTAACAATTCTGCAAACCAAGCATCTCTGCTGAAGATGATCATGTGATGTGATCTAAAGCTCCAGAACGGCTACTAAATGGACGTTGGGGTTGAGATCAACAGGGGCTAATATAGTTTGTGTGAAATGTGAATTTTTAATTAAGCGTGTTCAGCAATTAGGAATAGCAGCACTGCACAAAGAAAAGCAACAAGGGCATCAGTTTACGTACTTTATTGATCATTAATCTTACATAAGTTATCCAAAACTGGCATGATAGGCAGAAAATCAGAGCGCCAGTAAAGAAAGGTCATTGTATCCACAAATGGACCAGCTGGCATGATGACCAACGACGTCGGCCAGCCTACAGACCGCTGTTGCCATATTAATTTAACAGCCAACACCAGTCTGATAAGCTAGCCGATGGGGTGGGAAAGTGGTGACGAGGAGTGTGCCAGCGAGAAGACATAAGGGGACCTCTATCCAGTCCACCGTAATGTGCCAGATATGTTTCAGGTAGAATTTATCCCCAACACAGGGAGGATTTTAGGAGTCAGGAAGGTGTTCCAATAGGAAAGTGTGGCTCAGAAGATCATTCAGATAAAGACCAAAAGGCAAATTTAGCTGCAACCATTGAGACACAATGTAGTAGTTCTTCCAAGAATTACTAAAAGGTAGTAGAATGTATGAGTGCCGAGCTGTTCACTTACCTTAAAGATGATCATTTGAGAGAAAAATATGCATTAGCTCTGGTGTGATGGTTACATAAAAAGAAATGGTTCTTAAACATCACAAGATCACAACAGAGCATATTTGGAAATATTTGAGAACAGGGTTTAAAAGTGAATCTTGTCCTACAAGAGAACACAAAAAAAATGACACTCAGACTTGGAAACAGGTGCCATGATTTACATGTTTTATCCATGATCTGATCCAAGTTTCAACCTAAATGTACAGTATAGAAATGGGACTAGTTAACTAGGCGTACAATGTCACTTTACAAATGATGTCACCTTTTTCTTTTTTTTGTTTTGGTTCAAGATAACTCACGTCCACACAGACCATTAGAATAGAAATACATCTGCGCATACTGTCAAAGATATTTACACAATGTGCAAACCATCAATACCACACTGTTTTAAGTTGATATTGCTTTTTTTCCTCTACCATTTTAAACAGAAATTTCTAGAAACAAAAAAAGACAATTGGTCTTACTGTTTTAACAGGACAAAAACATGAGGAAAATTAAACCCTGAAAAGCAAGACCACCCATCGCAGTTATCATGGCAGCACACTGTACAAACAAATCAAGATCCATACATACATACATGTTACAAAATTAAATAAAAATCAAGTTTATAAGTCAAGAACTATATTCAAAAGGAAGTTAGACCTTCCAGTCTTGCATAAGGCATAGCATCTAATGGGCACTGCCCGTACACAGCAGTCACCACCAAACCGCTGCTTCTGAGGTCAATGAATGGGTTCAATTTACCGTTAAAATAACATGTTAAGACCAGCGTTAGAACCAATCGTACTACACACACCTAGAAAGTTGAGATGAGGGGAAGAACTACAAAACTTGAAGAGGGACAAACAGTAAATAGCACATACATCCTCTCTAAAGCACACACACACCAACAAATAGTGTCTGGTGTTTTGTAACGTTCAGTCTCTGAGAATGGATGGGGGGTGAGGTTTGTTGTTAAGTTGTGAGTGGCTGGGGCTGAGCGGAGGGCTCTCAGCAGCAGCAGAACAAACACAGTCACTTGGATGTTTGCACCGCTTTGTCTCATCATCACTTCGTTTTCTCCTCTGAGTGCCTCTGCTGCTGCAGGCGCTTGGCGTAGCTCTGAGCCATGGAGTTGACGATGGAAATGACAAAGTAGCAGACCATGACCAGCACCACCTTCTCGAACACCCACGACAGCCAGTTCTCATCCTGGAAACCCAAAGTTAGGGTGTACATGCTGTTTATTACCATCATAAAAGCAGACTTTAATATGACAGTTCATGAGCACACAAATCCAGGTATGACAGAGAAAATGTTGGTAATACTGTTGTATGCATCTTGCATACATGACAGCAGTACATGTTGGATGAAACTGGTATTCAAATATAAAGACAAACTTTCCCCATGAGTGTGTGTTTATCAGCAGCCAAAGAACTAAAAACTGATAAAATCCTCCGATATTAGCGTACAAACCTATTTGTATTGGCGCATAAATAAGAAATAGTACAGAATCACTATCAGAATAATTAAAATTGTTTCTTTGTTACATAATTTGTCCACCAGAGAGCACTGACAAGTATATTGTCAACTAAAATGTCTCAGTACATATCTAATAACCATTTTTATAAAAAGGTCCTTAATTTGGTTGTTTTATTATTTTTAAGCTTTCAAATATCGATATTAAACTCAAACTCAAACATCAAGTATCAAATGGGCTATCTTAAAAAAAAAAATCTCCCAACTATGATGTTGCTATTATTTTTTGCTATGGCAGTGTTGAAGTGAAGAAAATTGGGGAAATTTTTTGAAAAAGTTTATGAAACCTTTTTAAGTCTGACAAAAAGCGTACATACATACAGTTGTTAATCTTAAATAAAAACATTTATAAAGCTAGTGAAGATATGGTATTGTTCTTACCGCTGGTGCACTTCCCCCAGCATGGTGCAGCTTGTTCCTCTGTGCTTCCAGGTACTGGCTGAAGGGCTTCTGAAGTGACGGTCCAACTCTGGGCACAGACCTGACATCGCAGCCCCGTCGCATACATCCGCACAGAATGGCAAAGAAAAGAAACAAAAGAGGCAGGGAGGAAGAATGTTAATGCACTTACCCTTTACGCACCCTTCCTTTGACAAGGAGCCCAAAACACTTGCTCCCTATAAGCCGCAAAGAGCAGTTCCTGAAGACTTGTCTTTCCCTGAACACTACCAAAAGGCCCTCATCACTGATCCACCAGTCAACCAGCTGCTGAAGGCCCCATCCTACACGTGTGTCCTGTCTTGCAGCTTCCACGTTCTCTACTTAATGCTGTGAGCAGGAGCAGGCAGCAGAGAGGAGTGAAGCAGAATCTCTTCAGCCCTCCTTTTATACCTCTTAGCTCTCTATAGGCGACTGTGTCAGCCCCTTCAATCAGGAAGTGAGTCGACATGATGTCATCACCTTTACCACCCCTGCTGCCTTCTTGGTGGAAAGACATCTAATCAGGGCGTGCTCATGCCCTTTTTAGGCCGTGTGGATTAGCTCACCAGGGGGCCAATCATAACGGACACCAGTTTATCAGTTCACGTCATATAGAGGCATTGGTGTTGTAGTTCAGCAGTGGCGCAGTTCAAAGTGGTTTCTGCATGACGTGAAACTTATCATTAACATGAAAAGAAAAACATAATGCAGGCTATCCTCAGACACCGCATACCCACATCGTGAATTAAATTCTGTCCCTGTTCAGGACATAAACAAAAACTGAGTGACCCTTTACTAAACAAAACACCTAAAAGGGGAGTGCAGTTTTGACTGACTCATTCTTGATATCGCTCCTACTTTACAACTGCCAAAAAAAACATCCTGTATCAGCACTGAGGCACTGTTTGCACTCATCATAGCGAGTCATCGAGGGAAAGAACCTTGACTTTTATTTCTAATGAATAAATACAATTTTAAAAAACAGGACACTCCAAATATGAGCAAAGTTACTACCTGGACATTACATACATGTAAGTGAAAATTTACCAGCCAATTGAGATTGAGATTGAGATATATATATATATATATATATATATATATATATATATATATATATATATATATATATATATATATATATATATATATATATATATATATATATATATATATATATATATATATATATATACACACACACAAACTTTTTAATGTGAATGGCAAATTTCCTGTACATCTTTAGTTAAAACCAACAAGTCAAGATAAATTGGCTAAATCTGACATTAGTAAAGTAGTCCTACAGAGTTTTGATTGTGTTTCCCACCTCAATGGGGGAAATTTTCTCAGAGCTCAACTTGGTGAGTCAGATCAACATGTTAAGATGGGACCTCATACGCGTGACCACCAGTGCTACACTGATGGATTGCAGTGTGGCGGCGGAGACGGTGGGGGATCTTTGTGTGGAAAATGCATGCACATACCCCCCCCCCAGTCAAAGCATTTATTCATACAGGATCCCCAATCAGTGGTCAAAATGCATCTGAAAATGTTTACAAATGCGTTGCCAACCACAAAATGAGGGGAAAGACAATGACTCCACAAAGTACCTGATTAATGCAGTCTCTCTCTCTCTCTCTCACACACACCCACAGACTTACCCGATGAGCGACACCATTTGCTCCACTATGTGCTTGCTGAAGGTAATGATGACAAATAGTTTCTGTAGGAAAACAAGGGAGAGATAAATAAACCCTTTACTTTCTGATCACATGCAGAGGTATACACATTTTATGATTGACAGACATTTTCTAAAACAGCAAATGCTTTATAACAACAGAAGGAAACAATAAAAAAGTAACAATTAACAAAACAAAAAGAAACACGTAAGACAAACAGATAAATCAATATATAGACATATATTGTGATTTTAAATTTTACAGCTGTGGGAAATTGGGGCCACATCAGCCACAGTCCAAAGACATTATAAAACTCAAACCTGGCGCTAAGCTAAATGTTGGACTGCGGGGGGCTTTGTATGGTTTGCAATCTGCCAAAGGGGGGAGGGGGGGGCACAACCACAATGTGCTTCTCCGGTCCTGAAACTGATCAGCTTTAAAAGAGCATGACACATGGCCCCCTGGACAAAATCAGACAGGATATGACACGTGATGTCCGCAAAAATTAGGGCAAGGAGTTCCCCCTGCAGCCTCTTACCGTCTACTCAATTTCCCTCTTTCATGTCTACTGTCTCATGTCCACTCTACATCCTCTATAACCCCCGCTGCCCTCCGGGCCCCTTTATCTGAAAGGTCTCTAGAGTGCTCACTGACTGGTACCACCAAGAGATGGATAGGTTTAGTTTGTTAAGCCACTCAGCGACTCACCGACAGACAGACAGCCTCTTCTAGTATACGCTTATATTAGTCACTGATGTGGCAGACTCAACAATACGCTCCAAATTCTTGTTAAAGACTTCTTAAAAGCTTCCCTCGTTTCATCTGGAGCCTGTTTATATGGTCTGGATTGCATCGCAAAGCTAAAACCAGAATAAGGAACCCCCCAAAAGACCAGAGCGCCACCAGAAAGAGTCAAGAAGTGCCCAATTAGAACTTTCTCACAGTCACCAACTCATAATCTAAGCACTTGGTTTAATCTCATCTCTCCCACACGTTTTGAGGTTGTGGGGACTGATTTAGTGAAGTCAGCATTGCATACCTAATTTTCTTAAGAGTGGATTTTTTTGAGATGCATTTTTCAATGTGGACAGAATTGTGATGACACGAAACTACAGTTGAGTCATATTCGAAGCAAAGATGCTGCAAGTATGGTATGCGGCTGTATGGTTTGTGTTAAGAATGGAAAAACCTGGTATTATTTTAGGTGATCTGTTCTAACCACCACTTTTAGTTATGCTACCGACCTGTATATGCATCTTGATGATGGCTTTCCCAATTAGAGTTGCGCCAAAGAAGGTCCAGAAGGGAACCATAAAGTGACCGCAAGTTATACCAGCCAGATCAAAGAGAGGATTGGGGATCTGAAACACACACACACACACACACACACACACGGTCAGATAATATTACTCAAAGTCTTATCAATTACCCTGACAGGTTACAGGTTCATTTCCTACTGTGTTCATTAGCATCCACAGGGACAAATGAGGAAAGACACTTTAATCTTTTATCATACATGTATAAAAATTGCGGGGACATTATAAACAACCTCAATTAAATAAACTTACAGAGGCACAAGCCAAGATCCCAAAAAATCCCACTTTCTGCACCATGTGCTGGACTCCCAGTTTAGCTCTTGTGACAAAATCCTGCAAACAGATTAAAAAAAAAAAAAGAAGAAGAATTTAACACACACATTACTGCTGTAATACCTATACGAATGGGTAGGATTTTCAAAATGTGACTTTCATGACCCATAGTTTGTAAAACCACACTGCAACACAAATTTAAAAACACATGGGTGTCTCTAAACACGTCACCCTATTATTCTTTTCTTAAAGTCACACTCTGTACTTTCTGCTGATGTGTGGTTTTTAAACCAAACACCAGTGTCTGCAATGTTATTACACAAAATGAGGTGCAAGAAAAGGGGGGGGGGGTGTACCATCATAATATATCTGCTAGTTCTGAGAAACATACGATTATTTTTTTCCCCCTTGATGACTTGGGTGGTGTTACAACTGAAACCTGTGTGGTACAAAAGTGCTGAGAATCTTCGGTTCCATCTCCATCCTTGTGGGGGGTGAAAGGTCTGTGGTAAACAAGATCACAGCCGATGCAGGAGGGAGATTAAGAGGCAGTCTCAGAAGCTGGCATCGTGTCAATGTCGATATTGGAAGCAATTTAAATTTCAGTTGAGCCTTAAGTCCTCACAATTAAAGTTTTCATCTTCAAATTAATTTTAGTTAATGTCAGTTACTTTTATAGTCAATATTTGTGGTGCCTGTTTTTATTCAGAATTTAGTTTTCCTCATGTAGATAAATTACAGAAAAAAATCCAGCCTTGAGATTTACAAAATAAAATAAAAAAATGACGTTCTGATTAGTTTTTTCATTTTTGTTTTAAATTTATCTCATCCCTTTCCAGCGATGCCAAGTCATTTTAGTCCAATGAAGTCTATGTCAGTAAAAAATAATCATCATTAGTTTAATGAACTGATAATTATTGTAAAAATTCAATTAAAATAAATCTCATATTTTGTAAATGCTTTTCTCTTTTTGTCTACTGCAATTCTTCACACTTTTTTCATTTTTATCATGACTTAAGGATACGGACTAACAGGTTTTTACATCTCTAAGTGCTGTACTTCTCTTTTAACATATTTGGTGTGATATTCATTCCCCCTGAATCATGTGGTGTTCTTGGGATCTAAACAACAGTGCATCTGACTCGCCTGTGAGATTGTTGCTTAGAAAACATAAATGCACATGTGGATACATCCTGAATGCATTCCCATGATGAAAGACATGTGACAGGAGGCACCTTCACCCATTCAGCTGAGACCCAGTGAAGTGAGAATAGGTGATGGAGACAATGTACACAATGTCTCTGTTCTGCTGACTCAACATCTGAGCTCAGCCGTCTGTAGTCATGTGAACTTAGTTCCTGACTGTCATTCAAATTAGAGACCGGTGAAAAGAGAGAAAGAGGGAGTGAAGGAGGGAGGCAGAGAGAGCAAAGCCCGAGGGATGATTAAAGGGGGAGCTGTGCTCAGGGTGACTCACCCACGAAAAGGCAGATTTACTGGAAGTGTAAGGAGGGAGGGGCTTCATTGAAGTCACATGGCATATTAAGACCAATCACAGGACAGTGGCTCTATGGTCAGTTGTGCATTATAAAGATGAGGCCAAAGCAGATATGATCATATCATGGCAAAGTGTCAACACCTATGTGAATATGAAAACTAATAGAGGGATGGATACTTCAATATAATTCAGTGTAACTGCTGTGTGGAAAGCATTGGGTTGAGTCTGGGCAACCTTTTATGCTAATTATAACTAATTTAGGGATTTTTTTCCTTTTACATATATGCTGTTCTTGTGCACTTTCGAAATTCTTGAACTGAATGAAGTGAAGAATGACACACCACACGTTAAAGGTGTCACCTTCTGACATGTCAAATCAAAAGAAAAGTACATCTGGGCTGGGTAATGCTTTTTAAATCTTCGTGCAATGTATTCTTTGTATTTATGTGCCCATGTATATGACCTGGAAATGACCATGACAATGGTTCTTATAATAGATGTGTACATGTGTGAAACTCTGACCTGAGCGCCTTCGGCCTGCTCCAACATCTCCTCAAACTCCTCATAGTCTTCATCCTCTGGATCAGCTCCTGACTGACGAGCCGCTCTGGCCATGAAATATGGAGGCAGCTCCCCGATGGCCGTGCCTGCCCCCTACACCAACACAATTTATAAATGTTCCATGTCAGCATTTGCTTATTTCTTTCCCACATTCACACATCGGCGACTATTCGCGCCACCATGAACTTTTGCAATTACATGCAACTGCTTTGTGTAAAGTAATGCTAATTTTAAGATACAAGAGGAGCTTTTATAAGTTCTGTAAGCATTAAAACTTTTTAGCCCGGCCATAAAACATGCTGAAATGAGGGAGTCACAATTCTTGGAACAATTTCCAGCTGCCACAATCGAAACCCACTGCTGGCAATGACAAACATTGCCATTTTTTCCAGTCTGGATCACTGTATTGTCTCTTTATTCAAACTACTACTCACCCACATGCATGCCTCCAGGCGGACCTTTGACATGATTGAGAAGAGGGAGATGCTTCCCTCCACCCCTCCACCTTGGGGACAGACAAGCTGGTCTGGGTACGGAGGCTCTGGGAAGTCTGTGGAGCCGCACTCGTATGCTGCCAGGGTTACTGATGCTATGTGAGGACCCTGAGAGAGAGTTAGGACAGATGGATAGGATGAGCTGCGTTAATGGACTGGAAACCACTAGGACACTCAGTGTACTGGCACATTCAATCATTTTGTCCAATGTGTGCCATGAAACACTTGTGCCTATGTGATGTGATTGAAAATGTGGAAAATACTGTAGCTTGGGGGAGCTGAGCAATGGGACACTGAATACACACATAATCTGCAATGGTCACGGGTAAAAAGATATTTTAGATTCAGATATAGTTACTAGTTTCAGTCTGTCTCAACATCTTGAATATTCTCAACAGCAGCAGGAATTTTAAAATGGAGAATAGTTTAAATGTTGCTAATACCATTTGTCATTATTTACATGACAGTTTTTAGGTACACCTAGCTAAAACTGATGCAGTCTACTCCAACAGTCCTGTAATAAATCATCCCTTTGTGAAGGTTATAATTCACTTTTTTGGATTTTGGAGGCTCTAGTGTGTGGCGCTGTTGGATTATATTGGAATGCGAGGTGTTTCCAATATTTAGTCTACACTCACTGATATAAACACTGTTAGAAAACACTTCTCAGTACACTCAACAGCACCGCAATCTGCAGCCTCCAAAATGATCGCAAAGCTGAATCAACACCTCTCTAAAACAGTTTCAACAAAAACTGATAACCTTCCTAAAGGTTTTATCTACTGCATGGCTGTTGTATTAGATTGGGGTCATTTTAGCTGACTGTATGTATGTATGTATGTATTAACTGTGGAACTTTTAAGAATGGTGTAAAGTTATTTTGCACAGCCCTACATAAGTACGCGTGTTAAATTTAACCTGTTGTTGCATGGTTAAACACAGCTCGTGCACTAACAGACTCATCTGCCCACAGGTACAAACACACAACAGTAGCTGAGTCACACAGTCTCTCTGACAGGTAGGTATGTCATCATTTAGCATTGTATAGACGTCTGGTTAGGCCGAGCCACCTGGCCTCAATAACACTTGGCCCACCTGTAACTACAACACAGCTCTTCCATTATGCCTCCTTAAGGTGATACAGGCAACACGGACAGTAGATTGACAGCTCACAATGAGTCTGGGTTGACTGCTCCCCCATACTAACTCACCACCCCACCCTGAGTATGAGCACACAGGAGGCTTCTTCAGTTTACAAAACACAGTCTGTTTCAAACCATACACAACTTCACTTAACGGCGTTTTTCATGACACGACAAGTCAGTGTTAAGAAAAACCTCAGCCGTGATTCAAACTCTGAAACCGAAATTCGGATAGACTCATTTGACAGGCAATGCAGCGGCCCTGTGGTGAACGTCTTCGTTCACTAAAGTCAGCAAAGCAGAACTCTCGAAATACAGGGCAGATAAACCATGTCTTGGCTAAGCAACTATTCAGCAAGTGGATTTCATCAAGTACCCGTCAAATGAAAAAGAATTACAAATCACATTGACTTAAGAACACAATTACTGCTGAAGCTTGAAACTGCAAAGCACATTACAACCCAGATTACCAAAGTGTTGAATGGAACCAACAACATAGAGATAGTTTTTTTCTGTTCTCACCAGAAATGGGTGTAAATTTGTCAAGGTTATTGTGAAGGTGACCCAACAGGAAGGGCAATAGTGTCATCAAAATGGCTTATCCTCTTAGCAGCGTGAATGAGCTTAGGAAATTTGTGAGCAATCTGCTTTGTCAGTTTGACCTGTGGATGGCGCAAGACGAAAGTTCTTGGGTGTGGTTCCCGTGTATCACAAAAACTGTTGTGATTAATGCTCTAGGGATCATGAACAACCCCTGCAAATTTCATGGCAATCCAATGCTCACTTTTCAAAATACCGTTAGTGGCACGCAGTTACCAAAACTAAGAACCATGCTCTGGGCATCGAACAAAATTCATGATAAAGTGAGCAGTAATGGTCCAGATATCTTGTTCTAAACCAAAAGAGATGGCTGAAGAAATGGCTGGATTGACCAGAGTGGTCTAATCTACAACATCAACATCATCTCCCATGATTACAGGGGTGCAAACTGAAAGAATCAAAACAGCCAAATCTACATGTAAAAGCAACATTATATGAGCTCTTGTTTTAACTACATTATAATGACTAGTATCCAGTGCTTAGATGCAGGGCAGTGACCTCTAAAAAAACCATGATGAATCATAAGATCATACTGGTGAGTGAATCCCCTTTCCCAGGAGCAAACTGATCTCATCCTCTCTATGGAGCTGTCTATTAATGCTTCAGACTAGAGGTAAATTCACAGTTTTTCTTTAAAACTTGACACCGGCAGTTTCCTGCCTATGGCTGACATTAACCCTGAGTAGGCAGTAGTGATAGCAGCTGTTGCACCGTGAACACAAACTATGGTTTAGTGAACCGGGAAACAGGAAATAGTCTCCTTATGAGCAAAGGGCTTACATCATGTGGCATCATGGTACAGAAGGATTTTAGTTTTCTGTGAAAAATTAGAGATGGTCACAGGAGTTTTGGGACACTCAGCATGGTGCTCTTGATGCATATGCTCAGGATATGCAGTGAGATTCACACAAAGGGGGAACACTGATAGGTTGATAGACTGTTTCACTTCATGTTTCAACTTTTGTATAGACAAAAATATTCTCATCAGAAAGGTATGCTGTTTCCTTAATACCCACACACTGGATTAACAGCTCCCTTAAGGCCCTTTGGAATAAGTAACAAGCCCTTATGGCACGGCATAGTGAGGGGTTAAGTGGTTATAAGTGGATTTTAAATGGAAGCTAGAGGAAGGCAAAGGCTCCTACAATAGGATGTTGGAATATAAACTAAAGGGGAATGAGATAAAGGATGCCAGGATTGCCAGCTTTGGGCAGATGGCAGAAGATGTAACAGAGAGGAACTGGGAAAAGACAAGTGAGAGTAGTCCTCAACCTCTGCAAAAGCATTGCCCCACAGCTACAACTCCTTGAACATGCTGTTGAAACTAATCCTATCTCTAGTCAATTAATAATGTAAAGTTAATGAATATTCAAAGCAACACATTCTAGCTGTCAGGCCACTAGAACCACCTCCAACGGCAGAGGTGAGACATGTTACGATCTTTCTAAATTTCAAGATTGCCGCTTCTGCTGTAATATGAAGGAGAAAAAGAAAACATAGTGTAGACTGAAAATAGGAGCCATTCAGATATTGAGGACTATTGTCTAGACATTGTTTCTGATTATATTTTGATTTTATCCAATTTTAATTTTAATAATCTCCAAGTGTGCAATGTCACGTTAAGAAGTAAGGACTTTAAGTACAGTAAGGACTGTACCTTATCAGATGAGCCTCCAGATGGCCATCAAATGTTTAAAGGACACAAAGGGATGAGGTTTTCAAAAAGTGGCTTTTAAAATAGTCTCTACTGCAATAGCAAAAGCTGGTAATTGAAAAAGAAAATGAAGGAAAACTGTCTTAACAGATGCCAGATGCAATGACGGTGCCTACTCATAGAAAAAAACCTCCCTCACACAGAGAGGAGAGAGAGATAATGTCCCACCTTCCCAGTATTATGACAGATACACTAAGGCTTTGTTCAGACTGCAGACAAATCAAATTTGTTTCTCAAATCAGATCTTTAAGACTAACAATTAAGGCACTGTTATTTGCACGTGATCAGATCGGATTTGTGTGTCCAGACATCACCAACCTATCTGCATGGGTTGTAGTGGTAAGGACACAGGCGTCAGTAACAATGTAAGCTGTGTGGCACATTATGAGTAACGCAAAAGATACTTTGAAATTCCACTTAAGAGGCCAGAGCATCCGGACTGAGATGCATTTGTAGAAATCCGATGTCAAAGTGAATTGCATTTCAAACCTCCTCCACATGAAGACTGGATCGATATGCAAAAATCGTATTTCATGTGTTTTTTGTTTCTCCACGCTTTCTATCAGTCTGTATTTGGGCTGGAACAAGGCTAAAGAAACACAAGAGTGCACACATGTACACACACAATACACCGTTTGAGCCACTGTTACTATTGCGACACTGTTGAACACAGTATATACAGTAAATGAAGACTAAGACAGTTAAACCACTCAAAACACGCAGTGAGCTGTAAAGCATTAGTTGAACGAGTGTACATCAACTCTGAAAAACAGGAAGGTCAGTTACATCTTTTCCCATGATTTCATTACGATGGAAATAACTGACTCAGCTGGCCCACATCTGCACATGTTCTACAGAACAGAAGCCACATCATCATCTTAAAGCGGACTATGGTGCAGCATTTCTTCCTCTCTTTCATTTTGCTATGTTCTCCTTTTTACCACAACCAAGACAAATGGCACATTTTAGTGACTCAGGCATACAGTCATTCTGTGACTGCCTATCAGGGAAAAGCTACACTTAACTTTTGGTTAGACAGACGGGTGACAAAATGGAACGAGTTTGAAGAAGCAGAAGACAATGAATAATGGAGAATGACGCCACTTGCTGGCAATTACAGGGATAGCAACACTGGGAACTAAAGAAAAAGAGTTTCATGTCATTTATGCAAGTATATAAAGAAGAAAAAAGCTTGCAGGTAATTTGATGGAATTTACATCTGAACAAAAAAACAGCCTGCATATAATAATAATGATGAGTTACCAGTTTCTCTTTATAGCCACTATCATTTTGCAGCCGTTTGACTGTTGAGATATGGGTTGCGTGTGGGCCAGCTGAGTCAGAGTCAGTCAAAACATATTGACGATTAGATCTGAATGTGGTTTAAAATGAAATTCTCATGCATTTATTGTGTCTGTTTTGTGAAGCTCCACTATTTTGTGTGCACGGGTGGGCGACTGAATGACTTTAACACTGAGACATTTCCAGCTACTTTTTTCTGCTATTACAATTACAGGCCGCTCATTCAAATGGAATTTCAAGACGCCCAACTAGGGAACATTTGCTTCAACATTATGCTCAAGTTGAGTTCAAATTTATTTAGCGCACCACAGTACGTAGCTTCAAATTTTACAATGATGTGTTAATTATTCTATTTCCTCAATTGGGGCTTTTGCTATGTTGCTCATTTTGAGCCTCAGCTGTCCTCAGGGTGAGGTGGCTGACTCCTGTTTGAATATATTTACAAATAAAGATGTTGCATGTGCATTTTTACTGTCACTGTTGGCAAGTGTCTCTGTGTTCTGCACTAAACCAGTTCAAGAACTAGTTTGTACACTTTTGCCAAACCATTAAAAAAACTTGTTCTCTTACCAGATAGAGGAGGAAGGTGTGCAGGCCAGTCCCAAGGCCTACTGAGGACAGGATCCCAAGTCCTACCCAGTAGGCACACCATAGGAACTTCTTCTCCAGGTACTCAACATACTTAAGTGAAGAAAGTCAAATAAAACAGATTAGAAGGCAGGGGACACAGGAAATGCTATATTTATTACTGATAATTGCAATGCACTTAAATTCCAACAAGAGAACCTTCTCAGTTGTAGTCATAGTATGATGATGACCAAAAGAAAATATATCTATCTCACATCTTTAATTTAATTAGTATTAACATTTAAAAAAATTTATTTGTTCTTTCATCTCATCGTATACTTTAAATTACCAGTAGTGGGTTTAACTGTTTAGATATAGATTGGTGATGCTTCCCTGAACTGTAAGAGACAATTGCACAGAGGAATTTGTAAACAAAACTCTCAGCCAACGGACTATATGATCAAGGGTTGCTTGACAACAGTGCAGACCTCATTATCTCCCAACATAAGCTTTCCTCTAAGAAGGTTTTTAGGTGGAGTGACTTATCATTAACCTTTAAACATGCTGGTGATGGAGCAATGGTGTTGATTATTAACAAAAATAAAAAAAAACCAAAATCAGTCAAGCCTTACATGTTGGTGTGCTCCCTCAGTGGAGTAGGCAATGGAGAACATAGAACATAACACCAAAACCAAAAACACTGTGCCCCGTTGCTGCCAAAGCCTGAAAGGGAATACAAGAAAACAAAATATCAATGAAAAAAATTCCAAACACACAAAATGAAAAATAAATGTATGGCTGTTAAATTTGATTGGAGGAGCCTGACATCACAAACATCCAGCTCCCTATATAGGGGAATCACCTAGTGCGTCACTGCATTTCCCCCAAAAAATGTTAATGTCTTCGATCCGTCTATAGTATAAAAGTATGCTCACTATAAGCTTCATAACTCCAGCTTCTCAGGGACAGAGAAATTACTAATTAGAGAGAAATACAATGTCACAAGAAAAACAAATAGGACAAAAGGTCACAAGCTTGGGTAAGCACAGATCTCCTGGCAAAAGCAGTGCACCAACAAAGGCAGACTGGAAAAACCTAACACCTTACTTAAATGTCCACTCCTTTAGCTTGATCAGGGTCTCCAGGAGGAAGTAATGAAGCGTGGTGACAGGTCTCCTCCATACCACTAGAGACAGGCGGTCCTCCTTATCTTTCTGCCGCCGCTCTCTCACCGAGGAGTCTGGAGAACAAATACAATTGCAATCACCCTGACATACTGTAATACTTGTATCTACATCAATTATTGCACCCTGATGAAATGGTAACGCTAAGCACATGATACATCAACGAGTCTGGGTCTGTTCTTGTTCTGTTGTTTGTAACACCGGAGGCAACCTAAAATAAGCCACCTTGAGGCTTTTCATGACTCATTCAAAACCATTTGGTGGCACTTATCATTCTGTACCATCAGATGTTACACAACTTTACTGGGGCACTTCTTATAGGAGTGTTAACTTCTCTACTGCACTTTGTCATACAGATGAAAGTTTACCAAAACTGACCTGTAGACCTGCCATTCTGCTTGTCTTTAGCTCCTGCACGTTTCTGAGGCTGTTCACAGCTCGCTCCATTGGCTGCCATGTCAATCAAGATTTAGTAGGTCAGGCAGTCTAAGGACGAAAGAGAGAATGACAAGTTGGTGTCTCACGTTCAACAGCTGCTTATTCAGCTTTCCACTGCCCGCGAGAATATGACAGACACGGCGGCCAGTCATAAAATACATACCAGAGACTATTAAGCAATAAAATATCAGCCTGGTAATGTGAACATGTTGCAACAAGCCGGCTGACATTCAAATTACATGATGCTTACAGAGAGAAAATAGCATTTAAAGCAACAAGGCGAAGACGAAAATGTCACCGACTGCCTCACGTACAGTTAACTCAAATAACAGTCGGTGTGTAGGTCAATTTGTAATAAGATATGATGCCAAATACGTGCACATCATCCTCCTCCACATGCTAACCGGTTAGCCAACCTGTTTAGCAAGGGACGTTGGCAATCTCTATATCAAAATAAGGGTTTTAAAAACAATAACGAGTCGCCTTACTTGTGGGGAAGTGTGTAAAAATGTTCCTTGCCGTTGCGCTGTAACAGTAATGAGAAAAGACACACCACATAGAAGGGAAACCGAGCGATGTTTGGTAAAATTAAATGAGTCGTACCCCTTTCCAGTCCTCTTTACCCGGAAATAAACGCTGGGCGTGTCAAAGTAAACTACTGCTGTTCAGCCTTGAATCATTTTCTTCAAACAAGTTTGTTTATAACCTGGAATGGTGAAATATTCATTTGTATGAACATGGAAACATGACACAGCATACATATATAATTATATTACCTTCAGGTTCCAGTTTAATGGTTCAACCCATAAACAAGATATCTTTATTGTGAAATTTTAAGCGAAGAAGTATTTCCGTAAAGTGTGTCTTTTGGTCCAATCAGAGGTTGCCAGATTTGCCAACAATTGCAATACAGCAACTAACCTTGGACTTTCCATACTTCTTTATTTTACCAGACACTTACAACAGACGTTTACCTCTTTATGGAAATATCGTATCCTGCATTTTATGGCAATATTAAGGGGCGTGGGAACATAATAGCTAAGAGTTAAAGGGGCAATAGGTTCATTTCAAGTTTGAGTCATGTTGTCTAACAGCTCCCAAGTCAATTCCTAAAATTGTTGCTCAGTCCATTTCTGCCTTTATGTCCATCAGGGGTGATCCCTTAAATAATTATTTACCTCACACAGTTAAGGGAGCAACAACCAATACATTTAACTACACATAAAACACACTGGACTCTGGCATCCTCCCAAAATTCACATGTGATATTTCAAATAAAGCTTCAAGTTTAAGATGTACAACAGTACTGAGCCAACGTGTGCATACTGAGGAAAACACACAAGACTGTTTCTTTGTTTTATTACAACATTGAATGAAGCCTGAGTGTGCACATTTGAACAGTTACAGCCTTTTCATGCTCACTGATTCAACAACAAAACATAATCTATACACGTGTATGCCACACAATATAATCTTCACATTAGTTTATTTTTCAATAACCAGACTTTTCTGAGCATGAAAAACTAAAATAAACGAGAGCTCTTCATTCAGTGTTAGTAAAATTACTGTTAAAGACGTATTCCAAAATGTATATTACACACCAACCTGTCAGTCAGTCGCAGCTGGAGTCAAATATTGACCATGGAAATGCTTTGAGTCATATATTTTCACAAAACCTGTTTGTTTTGTTGCAATACAAAACAATGATTAAAAGAGAAGTGAGCATGAGAACGAAAAAAACAAAGTGCCTTGGTTACCCTACTGCTGCTGAAACTAGTCAACCAAATCAAAGTCCATCATTGGCTGAAGGAGACAGCTTATAAGGTCACAGGCAAGGTTATTAACAGGGACCATAGGCACTGGTTCAGTAGATGGCTTGTTCTATTCCTGGATAGTAACCGAAGCAGGTAGCGTTATTAATCCTTTCCGTTTGGTGGTTCCGTTTCACTCATCATAGTGAAGTGAAGACAGGAACTTATCCACATCCAAGTCATGGGGGAAGCAATCAACAAGTTTCTTCCTTTCCTGCAGATTTAAACCAAAAGTCAGAATTACAAGACAAAAACATGTCTTACAATTCCTCTTTGCTTAATGAGGTAATCTATTTTAGTTATCAGCCTGGCAGTCTTTGCATAAACACTGCATTACCATGTAAAATGAAAAGTACTGATATCAAAAGGCAGTTCTGCTGATGAAATCACCACAATTTCTGATCGTGAATAAAACGCCACGCTGGTGGCCCTGTGTGGTCATGATGCTTATTACACACCAAAAGTGTTGGACAGATGCCAAATAGACACAACTCAGCTATTCTTAGTTCTTCTGAGTGGGATAAAATATATATATAGATTGCCGTGATGGTGGCACCAGAATAAAGGCCATGCTGTTGTTACCTCTGTACTAACTAACTGTTCAGTGTGATGAAGAGGACACTGGACAGACTGCCAGTCTATTACAGGACTAACATGTAGACATCCAAACACATTCACACTTGCAGGCAATAGCTTCCAATGCACCGAACCTACATGTCTTTGAAAGGGTTTATCAGTTGTGATGTGGTCATTTTTATCTCAGTCAGCTTGTCAGGCTCAGTTCAAAGTTGAAAGCTCACGTTTCATCAACTATGCTGTTTTGTCAGGCTCGGCATAATATTATTACAGCCAGAGCGAGACCATATTGGTAGTTTGTATGCAGGGCTCTAAGTTAAGTATGTCCCGCCGTCCTGGGGACGGAAATTGATTAGGGACGCTTAAAAATAATACATTTGGGAAGGTTGCAAGACAGAAGATAAATCTAGCCTAAAAAATAAATAAATAAAACGATGTGATTACTGCGATTAAACCATAACATTAATCTGAAATTGTCAACGTAGAATTGAGTACACAATTCAGGAGTACACACACAGCGAGAAGATAAAACGCAACAGTGACATCTGAAAGCAGTGTACATGTACCTAACATGGCTGTCAGGCAGTTACAGTGGATTTCTGCTGTCCCTGGCAGCCACACCAGCCAAATGTACCACAGTAGATGAAGAAATGTTCCAATAAAATGAAGAAATGTTCCAATAAAATGTGAGCTAATTTATAATTGAATTAATTCCACTGTGTTTTATGTATACCACACATCACTTTTAATTAATTATTTAAACAATTCTATTGTAGAAAAACAGCCATTTTATAATAATTGGGGCGGCCAGGATTTACTTTCGGGACGGTTGAAACTGTATTTCTGGACGGTTTGGGATTGTGGTGAAAAAGTTATGAGTTTGTTATATCTGTGCTTGTAGGGTTGTGGTAGTTGTAAGTACTGTAGAGCTGAAACAATTAGTCAACTAACTGAATAGTTGATTGAACAGAAAATTGATCTGAAACTATTTTGATAATCAATTAAGCGTTTAAGTAATATTTCAATTAAAAATATCAACCTGTGTTGTACTCACTCTGTCTTTCTTTGCTGGCGGGCTGGTTGTGGGCGAAGACTGTTTACGTTTCTTAGAGTTCTTTGAGCTTGTGGGCGACTTTTCTCCAACTCCCTCCTGACGCAAACTGTCTTTCAGTGGAGTGCCTGTCCTGGCGATGGCAGCACGTGAAAGAATCATGAGTGTGTGAGCAGCCATGTTGATGCTGTTTTCGCTGCCAGCCTCACTGGCCGGGCTGCAGGTGGGGACATCCGGAGTGGTGGGAGGCAGCAGATGCTTGGGAGTCCCCTCTCCATCTTTACCCTTCTTCTGTCGGGAAGGGGTCTTGGGACACTCAGCCAACTCCTCCTGGTTACGGCCAGTCCCAGGGGTTCGGGGAAGACTAAGGTCTGTACTACACGCTCTAGGCCTCTTGACTGGGGTGGAAGCAGAGTTGAGCCCCTGTATGTCGTGCAGCATCTCAGCTGCCTGTTTGGCAAGAGAACTGGTCTTTGAGGGGGCTTTTGTAGCCTTGGAATGAGGATTAGATGTAGGCTGGGTGACAGCTGGAGGGCTAAAGTCTCTTGTTGTGGAAGATGAAGATGTTGACTGCTGTTGTTGCTCTTGCGTGCTACCCTTCATTTCATTCTCCTTGTTAGCCGTCACATTTGGCACCTCCTGAGAAGGAGTCCTCTTTTCTGTACGCCCCTCGCGTGATTTGGCAGGAGCTTTTTCTGCAAGTTCTTTCCTGCTACTTTCCTCTTTCTCATTTCTACTTACTGAATTCAGTGTAGAATCAGAAGATAATGACCTAGGACCATGTGAATCCTTAGCTTTTGCTCCCTCGCCCTCCTTATCATGACTCTGTTTCCTGTCAATAGATCTTGATCTCCTTACTGATTCTGGCTTTTTCAAAGTCTCAGGCTTCGAGGCATCAACCCTGCTGGTACTTGCACTTTGACACTCTTGGTTATGGATGTTATGATCTTGTTTGCGAGAGTCCTTTTTAACAGGTTCTTTCTGGTGCTGTTGTGGAGACGTGGATTTCTCTGCCTCCTTCACAAAGCCTCCTCCCGTCTGGGGATCTGCTGAGCATCTGATAGGCTGCACCCTCCTCTTGGGCTTGTTGCCACCCAAGATAGTAGGCTTTGTTCGAGTGACCGACTGCGTATTATCTTTCTCCGTCTGCTGGACAGATTGTGATGTAGATGTATTTGTAGCCGGAGGTTTCGCGGTTCTGGTTGTTTTAGCAGTTTGTTGTTTCACTTCTGCAGAAGAGTCAAAACATAAAATTCTCCTATGTCTAGGAACCTTTGCTGCATCCTGCTGGCTTGTGTTTTCAGCTGACAAAGGCTGAACCAACTTACCAAACAGATGTTGCTCAGTGCCTGGAATTTAGAGAAATAAGGTCAGACAAGTAAGGCAGAGACATTGAAACATTAAGCAGAGCAACACTGATGACATCCTTTGGTAACATAAGGTAAAATGATGTTTGGTCATTTTCAACCATTATATAGCTCTTCAAGTTAACCTGTATCTTACCAGCAGTTGTAGATCGTTTGATTGCCACTGTGGAAGATCTGGGCTTGACAGCTTCTGACTTCTGGACTGGAACTGGGTTTGGTATGGCAACAAGCTGTAAATATAACAAAGTTGATAAGCTTTATTGTTCTGGACATTGCTAAAGGTCTACAGCCCGGGGGGGGGGGGACTTTGGGGCGCCAATGTGACCACACATTAAACAATTATAAAGTCTTGGGAGGATTGAAAAACATACTAACATTTTTGTTACCATTAATGCCGAAATTAGTTAGGACTCTTTACTTTACTGAGGTGACAGGAAGTAAATTTCATGCAAATCTGCCCATTAGATCTCAATATACTTTGACATGGACCAAAGAGATGGTCAAAGAGAAATTTCCTCTATGGGGCAGAATGGTAGATGAAAGGTTGGAGGGTTACAGGAATGATCAGGAATCATCCTATTATTCTGGTGAAAATGGTAAGAAAGATAAGTTTTGACTACAAACTTACAAACTGCAGATAAAGTTATGTTACCTGATTGGACACCATCTGAACATTCCCCAGAGTATTTTGGCTCATAACAGAAACAGGAAGCATCAGGGGCTTAACAGGCGATGGTAAGATGAGTGCTGGCCCTGCATGTGAAGAACACAGACACTTTTATAATAATACCAACGCTAACAGTAATGGGCTTGACTGATGTTAGGCAATAAGCAACAAATATCCACAAAACATGACATCTCCTCTGCACCAGGGACAACACAAAATAGGTGATGTATCCTAGCGTTGTAGTCAACACCGCCCAAACCGAGACCAAGTCAAGACCAAGACCAGAGTTTGTCGAGTCCGAGACAAGACCAAGACCATCAAAAAGTGGTCTCAAGACCAAGACCGGTCTCGAGTACTACAACACTAATGTATGCAGCTGCGGAGTAGATTGCCCTTCGTTGTTTAACCTGTGGACAGCAATTGCCCTGGAATAAGAAAACTAATCTCAGCTCGGAGGCAGGACATAACCTGGTGCCAATATAGGACGACTATGTTTTTACATTCAAAACATTACTTCTACTACATTTATTAAGGAATACCTATTATGCTTTTTAATATTTTCTGGCATTTCTATAATGTTACAATGTCAGATGTTCATGTTAAACATGACCAAAGCTTCAAATGAGGTAAAAGTATTTAAAAGAAATCCCTGTGAGCCAAAACATTAGATATCCCCCTGTTCTGAATGCTCTGTTTTAAACAGTTTTTTCTACTAACGACTCGGTATGATGTCTTTCCAAGTTGGATTTCTATATTTGGTCATTTGCTACAGGCAGGGAATGCTGGCCACGCCCACAAAGGAACATGCAGCCTCATCCCTGTGGCAATTTGGTAAACAATGGCCAATCAGAAGACTGTGCTTTGGAGGGGGCGGGGTCTCAAAGAGACAGGAGCATCTACAGCTTGTCTCAGACAGAGGCTGAAATGAAGGCCTACAGTGGGTACGGAAAGTATTCATTCCCCTTTAAATTTTTCACTCTTTGTTTCATTGCAGCCATTTTCCAAAAATCAAAAAAGTTCATTTTATTTCTCAGTAATGTACACTCAGCACCCCACCCTGACAGAAAAAAACAGAAATGTAGAAATGTTTGCAAATTTATTAAAAAAGAAAAACTGAAATATCACATGGTCATAAGTATTCAGACCCTTTGCCGTGACACTCATATTTAACTCAGGTGCTGTCTATTTCTTCTGATCATCCTTGAGATGGTTCTACACCTTCATTTGAGTCCAGCTGTGTTTGATTATACTGATTGGACTTGATTAGGAAAGCCACACACCTGTCTATATAAGACCTTACAGCTCACAGTGCATGTCAGAGCAAATGAGAATCATGAGGTCAAAGGAACTGCCTGAAGAGCTCAGAGACAGAATTGTGGCAAGGCACAGATCTGGCCAAGGTTACAAAAAATTTCTGCTGCACTTAAGGTTCCTAAGAGCACAGTGGCCTCCATAATCCTCAAATGGAAGACGTTTGGGACGACCAGAACCCTTCCTAGAGCTGGCCGTCCGGCCAAACTGAGCTATCGGGGGAGAAGAGCCTTGGTGAGAGAGGTAAAGAAGAACCCAAAGGTCACTGTGGCTGAGCTCCAGAGATGCAGTCGGGAGATGGGAGAAAGTTGTAGTAAGTCAACCATCACTGCAGCAATCCACCAGTCGGGGCTTTATGGCAGAGCGGCCCGACGGAAGCCTCTCCTCAGTGCAAGACACATGAAAGCCCGCATGGAGTTTGCTAAAAAACACCTGAAGGACTCCAAGATGGTGATAAATAAGAAACTCTGGTCTGATGAGACCAAGATAGAACTTTTTGGCCTTAATTCTAAGCGGTATGTGTGGAGAACACCAGGCACTGCTCATCACCTGTCCAATACAGTCTCAACAGTGAAGCATGGTGGTGGCAGCATCATGCTGTGGGGGGGTTTTCAGCTGCAGGGACAGGACGACTGGTTGCAATCGAGGGAAAGATGAATGCGGCCAAGTACAGGGATATCCTGGACGAAAACCTTTTCCAGAGTGCTCTGGACCTCAGACTGGGCCGAAGGTTTACCTTCCAACAAGACAATGACCCTAAGCACACCGCTAAAATAACGAAGGAGTGGCTTCTCAACAACTCCGTGGCTGTTCTTGAATGGCCCAGCCAGAGCCCTGACTTAAACCCAATTGAGCATCTCTGGAGAGACCTGAAAATGGCTGTCCACCAACGTTTACCATCCAACCTGACAGAACTGGAGAGGATCTGCAAGGAGGAATGGCAGATACCCAAATCCAGATGTGAAAAACTTGTTGCATCTTTCCCAAAACGACTCATGGCTGTATTAGATCAAAAGGGTGCTTCTACTAAATACTGAGCAAAGGGTCTGAATACTTATGATCAGTTTTTCTAAGTTTTAATAAATTTGCAAAAATTTCTACATTTCTGTTTTTTTCTGTCAAGATGGGGTGCTGAGTGTACATTACTGAGAAATAAAATGAACTTTTTTGATTTTTGGAAAATGTCTGCAATGAAACAAAGAGTGAAAAATTTAAAGGGGTCTGAATACTTTCCGTACCCACTGTACATTAAGTAGGGATGGGACGCTCAATACTGACTTGTCGATGCTGTGTCGAGATCCCGAAGCACTGCTCTAAAGCGTGGTTCAAAACGTCAATGTCACGTGACCATAGTGAAGCGAGGCTTCGGTGTGTTTCATCCCTGTTTCAACAGGTGGCACACCTGCCGCTTCTACGCTTGATTCACAGCATTTGGAACAAACCTCACATCAGCCTCTAACTCATTTGACAGATTTGTTCCAAGGACACACAATCATTTGATTTATTGGAGCGACGTGTTGTAGTATATCCGCACCTGTAGGCCTATGATGGCAAAAAAATACTTATCTTTGCCAGCAACAAATGTTTCATGTGACCAAATTTTTCCAAGGCTAGGAATGTCAATTATGAAAAACCCTCCGACTCAGCCCCAAAACAGCTGAATATTTCTGAATACAATTCTTGACATAAAAAATGTGAGACATTGTTCCACTTTTCATTTATCATTCTTGAAACAACTTCAACTTTACTCAGTTACGGATTTTTAATCCATTACACCTCATCACTGCCAACACTCAATATTATTAATTATTATTACACTAGGGCCTATATCTTTCCTGCTAATTATCATTACACCTTTGTTAATAAGCTACTGTATAATACTGTAGATATCCACATTTATTATCAGGCTATATTCTTAGATCTGTATACTTTATTATATTCTCTACTCTGCTCCTAAGGTGCGCCCTCTGACATAGCAATTGTGAGTCGCTTTTGAGAAAAGCGTCGGCTAAATGAGTGATTACTTATGAAACAACATACTTTTATTGCAATCTCCATCTGCTGTCTCTGACAATCTGAAAGCGTTTGTTTGTTGTATGGTGATTTCTGCAAAATCCTGTTGGTCATGTATTCATAAGACGTTTAGAATTGTAAACACGGTTCAGTCATTGTTTCAATGAAACCCCAACCAAGATGTGTCGATATCAAAAGTGACCAGTAGGTGTCGAGTGTCGAAGTGTTTCGAAGTCTCGAAACAATTCCGGCACAATTGCTTCAAACGTTTCAATGTTTCACAAAGCCTCGCTTTACTCATCACTAACATTAAGAGCCAGTATAAGTTTTTTTTTAACTTTGTATCATGCAAAGCTACCATAGAGGAGTCACAGAACTACAATATAGGGCTGGAAATGCAGTATAATAGGTCTTATTTAAAGTAAAATGCACTCTCTTTTACTCCCTATTCTGTAATTGGGCATTTTTGCAAATTTTATTTATAGAGATAATGCTGTAAAAAAACAGATGACCCACTGTTGTCGTCTGTTGTCTCTTACCAGTGGAGAAGCCTTGAGAACGAGTTGGTGTGGTCATCCCATACTGGTTGGGGGGCAAAGGTCCCTTTGAGACACCAGCAGGCAGTAGCAGCTGCCTGGTTTGAGCATCTGCAGTTGGGGGTTCAGTCACAATGAAATAGCTTGCAGTGGCTCCTTGGAGGGCAGGGTTAGTGGTGTCCAGGGGTAGTTGAATTATGTAGTTTTGCTGGGGCTGTGATGTCCCTATGAACGGGGAAGCGACTACAGCCTTACTGCAAGGACTAGTGTGTGCCTCAGAGCTTTGTAGGCCACTAACTGCCTGTGCCACCTCATCCAAGTTGGCCTTCGGTGTGCCAGAGCTTCCAAGGGACTTAGCTGGAGAGGAAAGATAGATGGTAGGTATCTTGTTTCCAGAAATGCTAGAAATTGCCTGATTCGAGGCTGTGTCGCTGGAAGAATTGTCATCCTGGTTATCGCTGATGATGATCTTCAAAGAAACAATATTGGAATCAGCTTCAGCCTTGCTTGGGGCAGCGTGTTTGGTGGATGGAGGGTCAGGTGCTTCAAGTCCTGGCACACAAGAGGAGGAGGAAGCGGGCGAAGCTGGAGTGGATGAGGCAGGTGTAGCTGTAAGCGTTGCAGAGGTAGAAGCAGATGTGGGTGAGCCAGATATTGCTGTGAATGGTGCAGCAGTGGAAGCAGATGTGGAAGAGGCAGCTTCAGGTGACACTGAGAGAGTACACACTGGTTGAGTGTCTCCACTGCTTGAAATCAGTATATGAGGTAGGTCAGCATTCGACGCTGGAGTGTTGTTCAATTCGACTTGTAAAGGGGACAAAAAAGCAAGTTGATTACTCAAAGATGGAGAAGGGGCTGTAGCAGGTTGCTCTCTAGATCCTTGTGCTTGTTCATGCTCCTGTATTTGGTCCACATTATAGGCCGATGCTTGTTCCGGGGCAGCGATTGCAGCAGGGGCTCCTGATGAGGAAACTGTGGTTGATTCACTGAGGGCAGCTGTGGTCGAGGTGCTGTCCTTTGTAACAAGCTCCTGAGTGGCAATACTGTCCGAAGGAGGGGGAGGTGTATTCAATGGTTCATCAACATCCATTGGTGTCACAAAAACACTGTTATTAGAAAGCGACTCTTTTGCTTTTCTGTTTGAGTCCACTGCAGCAGATGAGACATCCCTATGCTCCCCATGACTCACTAACATTCTGGCTGAACTGTTTTCAATTCTGGATGCTTTGCCACTGGGGCCAGTTTTCTTTAACACAGTGGGAGCAGTAGACTTTCTGGTCTTGCGCTCCTGTCCAGCTTTCATCTTCACTGTCAATGGTGTTGTATCCGAAGCATCTGTGTGTTGAGTGCCTAAAAAATAAACTGATTTTAGAAATTAGCATGTGACACAAATTCAAACACAATTTCTCTGTGTCAATAGTATGATACAGCTGGCCAGCTGTCGTCAACAAACTGTGGTGAGTATGCACACTCTTTGTGAAGCTGGTGAGTTTGTCCTGCTTTAGACATGCACTAACAACAACACAGATAATGAGGAATTCAAGTGCTAAGGTATGTTGAGCAACAATTATACCTGTGTGACTGATTTAAGGATGATACTATGGCTGCATGCATACACAGAGACACATATGTACTTATACACATACACACATAGAAAGTTGTTTAAAGTGCAAAAAGTAATTGATTATTGGGAATGTAATTGTTCACGCCTCCTTTCTCACATGGGGACTGTGTCCAACAAGTTCTGTACCTTTTACAAAACTGACATTCACACCAACTTCAGGATGCGATCGGCAAGAGGTGAGAAAGTAAGCAGGGTTTATACTTCTTTCTCTTTGAACTGTATCTGTTCTTAATTGAACATGAAGGTTTTTCTCTCTTCCAAAGTTTAAATTTTCAAGAAACCTGCCGTGACCTGTGTGAGACGGAAGACAACATTTAAATGTTCTTCTGAGAGCCTACTATTAGCTTGTAAGAATACCTAGACTGCCACTCTGAAAGGGTTTGACTGCAGATGAAGGTCCAGCAGTGTCACTCTCTTCTGGACTACTGCTAATATCTCCATCCCCTGGTTCTCCATCAGTGAATCTGGTTTTATCTGGAAATAAACATTATAAAAAGTCTGTTATGAATTTGCTTTCAATTGTGCTTTCATACACAATTGAAAAGGATAGCAATTCATTACTCTGCACAACAAACGCTGGTAAATGAAAAGTGGGTCATAGTTACTGTAATCAAAGAGGTCATAGAGGGCCTGAAAAGCTGGGTCAGACTCTGTTTGCTCCAAAATGTCATGGATGGCATCGTCACTCATATGGATTTCCCCCTGTACCATGTTAACAATGCACAGCTTAATAAAGTGATCATGATAAATGCTTACAAGAAAGATTTCTGAGGGGAAAAGGAAAAAAGAAATAATAGTATTTATAGTTTTTCCCGCACCTGTAATCCTAAGATTTCATCTATAGACTGGTCTTCCTCCATTGTACTTGAAGAGGCCTTTGTTGTTTGGGGCATTGGATCACTGAAATTAAAGATGAAACAGAGAACAAAAAAAAAAGTACAGCCATGTTATTTGCTTGCAGTCATGCCACAAATTTGACCCTCTTTACACCTGGCATTTCAATGTGTTTTGAGTGATTGTACTGCAATCGGATGGTGCTTGACCTTATGAAAGTACAATTGTAAATGCATACAAGACACATTTCAATTTAATTTTTGTTTTTCAATTCAATTTTATTTATATAGCGCCAAATCACAACAACAGTTATCTCACACAATATACACACAGAGGTACAGACAGTGAAGGTGATGTTGCTATAGACTAAATGAAAAATGGTACAGATATTACAGACATTGAGGACAAATTGTGATGTGATCAGCAAACCATCTCCAGAGGTGGTCAGGGATGAATTGTTACCATACTGAACACAAGTATAAATGCAAATGCTTTGTCAATCTACATGCAACAACTACGTGGGCAGAAACAGCGCATACAGGCAGTGTATCCATACAGTGCTGTGCGAGAATGCGCTTAAAGAACGCAGTTCACTGAACATGCTTATGTTTTTGGTGAATGTGAACTTGCTCACTGTTAAGATAAACTCAACTACTACTCTAAACAACTAAATGAACAGAAATGAGTACACAGTATGAAGAGCGGTAAGGCAAGGAAACGATGCCAGGCTGAACTTAAGTTTCACTTTTACTTTTCAGCTGAGCTATTACATCAACTGCTGAAGAGAGGAAAACATGGGAGTATAGAGAATTATTTTGGACTTGTGCAAAGAAGAGGAGGATGTGATGAAATGTAATCAGGTTAAAATCATATCTAGATACAATCTGGATATGAGACACATTTTAATGCGAGGTGTAAAGGGGGTCTATGATTGGCACTGACATAATAAATCATCTATAACAACTTCATACTTAAAAACTTTACACTTACCTGGCAAGGATTTTGTTGATGTTTTCAGCAAGCTTCTCTTGTAATGATCTGTCCCCTAATATCTTGTCACGGGCATTTTGTATCACAAGTTGCTGTGGAGATTAGCATGTGTTGTGAAGTCACAAAATGTATGAATCATATATCTAAAAAAAAAAAAAAAACATTCAAGAGCGAGAGCATGCCATTGCTGATGCCACAGTGTTTCCCATACATTCAGTTATTTGTGGCGGCCAGCCACAATATCAACACTGACCGCCACATATTGATTTTTGATTTTTTTACTAGGCCTATTTAAAATCGTATTTGAGCTGTAGGCAGCGCGTATTCACGTAGCACATCCTCTCGCTCGTCCCTCTCACCCGTCCATAGATCTCACTCTCTCTCTCATCCGTCCCTCTCTCTCTCCCTGATGAACACCGCTGCACAAATCTGTCCAACACAACGCTGTCAATGTCGGAGACCCAGCTATTAAAAGTTATTATCAAGCCATGTATGGTAAGGAGCCTAGCAAATAAGGAGAGCTAAGATAAGTTAACAGCTGGGGTTTCGTGGCTAGCATGCTGTATATAGCTGCGCCACAGTTACACCGTCATTCTGTGGGAAACACTGTGCCATGAGGTTCTATTATCACGTATTGCTTCTAGAAACAGAGGTGTAATGCTAAGAATTAGCTAAATAATTATTCGCAGGACTGAGCGACAACAGCCCCTTTCAGCCCTTCCATCCCTGAACTCACATGCATATATAATATAAAATATTACATTCAATCAGTGTCAACACCTGTTCCAGTGGAGCTGACCCTAAACAATGAACCAAAAATCAGCCACAAAAGTATTAAAGCCTTATTCTTCTGTATGTGGAACATCTTGTCATTCACCACACAAAACACATTTATTTTGACCTACAAATGTAACAATCTAAAAAGCTAATTAAGCCATAATTTCATGAGTGAAAACACTGCTTGTCTATTCAAAATGTCTCTGTGTTAAAGAAACCAACACCGCAAATTCAGATCTGCTTACAGGAAAGTTCCCATCGACAGCCTCTTCAGGTTGGGTTTCTGCACTGAAGCTGCTGGCTGTGATGGCACATCTGCCCGGGCCACTGGATCCACTCGTAGCACCACCTCTCTTCCTGGGGGTGTCCCTGAACACAGCAAAACAGATTATAGATTTGGCAGCAACATGCACATGGCTTGAGCAAAACAATACAAGCCCAATAAAGTGGAATCGCACGCAAAAACACCACAAAACTGAAGCCACATGTCAGATCAACACATCTGACATAAAGCAGAAGCAAGCATTAAGCTGAACATTTTCACACCTAACTCTTTGAATGAAGGGTTTGTCTTGACCAAACAAGAGTTGACCACAGTTTTGGTGAGTTTTATGATGAGTTAACAAGTAAATTATTTCAAATCGGTCAAAGACCAAAACTTGAATTCAGAGGGTGTATGGTTGTATTTTTCTGTTTGACAATGAAAACCGGTGTAAGAACATTTTCTTTTCGACATTTTGGGAGTTTATCTGTTAGCATGCTAACTTCAGTACATATCTCTGAAACACAACACAGACATCGTAACATAATGTCAGAACCATTACTACTTCACATACTGTTGATCATGTTTAAAGTGAATGTTTTAAACTAAACCTCTGGCCAATTTTTTTTTCCTTCTCTTTTATTGAATGCTGTGTTGTTTATTCTTGGTTGATTGTAAAGCACTTCGGACACCTGTTGGTTAATGTAAAGTGCTATATAAATAAATGTTGATTGAAATAGTTACACCTGTACTTTCCCTGCAATCACTTGTCAAAATATCTTCTGTGACACTAATATTATGTCTCAATTTGTGTTCTTCTGTACTTACACTTGCTATATTGAGTGCATAAGTGTGTTCACACTGACAATTATAGCAAAATGAAGTGCAATATGAGCACCTGAATGGTATACTTGTAACAGTTAAAAAGTTGAGTGTGAAACGCTGGAAAACCAGAATGGTCGCTATCTTGGCTACATGGCGGAAGGGGAGGGAAGCTGCAGCGGTTACTCCGGTGAACACCACAAATGTAAATTATACATTCTTTTTTCAAAGTCAAAGAAGAAGAAGAAATACAACAATAATAAACCTTACCATTTCCGACGTCCAGGCGACAATGGGCCTGGATTTAGCCGATGTTCAGAAACAATTATCTGTACAGGTGAATCTCCTGTAACGGACACATTTTGTCACACACTATATAAAAGCATATATTTTTGTAATTTCTGATAGCTTGCAAGCATGCTAAAATATCTTTCAACAAGCCCTAATCAAAATGAAGCACAGGGAAACTTTTTCAAGCCATTATAAAAATGCATAATAAGCTGTATAAGTATCATCTGCATACAATAAAAAAAGAAAATAATCCAACATAATTTCAACATAAATATTGTATTCAATATTATATAAAAAAGACAGCCTTTTTTCTAATAAGTGGAAACAAAACACAACATTCTCAATTTTCATCGTAACTACCCGATAAATAAAATATATTTTGAGTACTGCAAGTATTTTATACTGACTGGGCGTAGCTAGTAATCGGCTGACATCTTGGGTCTGCGGTTGGCTGTGTGGGGCAGTGTAGCTCATGGGGGTGGAGTGGCCGAGCATGCTGTGGGAAGTGTGCGCTGGGCTGAGGATGGAGCTTGTTTCAGAAACTGATGAGCAGACGACACCACCAGCTGAAGCCACGGTCAAGACCCGCTGCCTCGCCATGTTTGCCAATCCTATGCGTGAACGTGCTGCAATGAAAAGAGGCTCGTAAGTAAAAGGCCTTTGTGTAAACCCCGAGCAAACACATGACTCAGACAACCAAATTCATATGATCTTTTTTTTTGTGGTTTAAACCTTTATTGGACAGTTGACAGTGAAGTGACTGACAGGGCAAAGGAGGAGAGAGAGAGGGCATAACATGCAACAAAGGCCTCTGGCTCGAACCAAAGAGGCGATTTCTAACATCACTGTTTGACTACCGTGTTAAGAGAGGGTGATAATTTGCACTTTCAATGTATTAACAACAGGGTTTGGTGCTAGACACGCCAATATTAAACACTGTAATTACAATAAGATTCTGATTAAGGAAGCCATTTTTCAGGCTGTCAGATTATCCCAATTTGTAGCGATGCGTATGCCATAAACACATAATCCTAACAGAATATTTTATATCTTTCAACTGCATCTCCACACATTTGAAGGGTAGAAATCATAATCCAAAAATCTTGATGGCTGGGAGTCAATAGAAATGTATGGGAAACATTGCGATATTATATACAGCAATTTTTCCCATACATTTGGGATCAGTGTTTTTGTACCAATAATGTGTCTTTTACCGGCAGATTTTTGCAAGAGTAAGCTATTAGTAATAAATTAAAATGGAAAATCATTAACAGACTTACTTCTTTGAGATGCTGATATAGCGGGGGAGTTCTGCAATGACCTAAGGAAAGATATAGAAGAATAATGAAACAATATCAGTTGTTGAAGATCCCTGTCAATATCAACTTTGAACAGAAAACAGTGAGAATTGAGATTGTGGTCAGTTTCATCTTATAGCAACAGTTGCAGTGATTTATGTGATAAAAACTTAAGGCTCTTTACCTGATCTGGTTCAGTGTAAAATCCAGCTTCTTCCACAATGAAGTCATCATGGCAGGTACCTCGGGACAAGACTCTGTTCAAGACATTGACAGGTTACCAACAACACAAGCATAAGGCATGAATAAGAATATATCATAAAGAGTTCATTTTGTAGTGTGAACAATATCAGATTATCTCACCCTTTGTTTTGGCAGCCACATACTCATTTAAGATTGTTGTTAGGCCTTTTCCAAAGACAGACTGTGTGAGGGAGAAAAAGCAATGAATCATACACGCAACGTGTAACTATTATGCGCATTACATTCACATGACAGTGCCGATCAGAGAAAAGGGGACACACTTACAAACACACAAGCAGGAATAGTCCCATCTTCTGTGGTGTGGTCGGCATACTCTTTCAGGTTTGGGCTCTCATGGATGAAAGCTTGGCTTGTGGAGGACAGTCCCTCTTCTTGGAGGTAGCCTGGAGAAGACGTTTAACGTTACAATCACCCAGTTAACGTTAGAGAAAGCAGGGGTTAACGTTACGTTAACATTACAACAAAGTTCAAATGGCAAACGGATAGTTACCCTAAATACACTGCATGTTTATCGTCGACCGTTGGCTTGTCAACGGTTAACAACTGTAACAGTTCAGCTTTGAGCCGCCTGTTTACAGTTAAAGCTAAGTATCATTGTTGCTAACGCTAACTATTACACAGCCGCTTCGCCCGACAACAGTAACATTACTTACCCAAAACAAGCCGGGCGACGTCGGACGGTAATAACATGTCTGCCTGTTGGTTGATATAAAGCGAGTAGTAGTGAAGCGTTAGTTTACTACATGTTCAGGAAAAGTATCTCAAAATTTAGTTAAACAACATCAAATTAAAAACCGTCAGCGGTATTATTGTGAAGGAGACGTCCTGAGGACTCCGCTGCTTACTCAAAAGGCGGGGAACTCAAGTGCGCATAACCCGGAAGTTTCAAACCAATCTGCCGTTTGAAATGCTGGTAGTTGTAGTCCAATTCATAACATCAAGCTCCACTACATCCAAGAGGCTGCCATATACACATATATTGATCAAATATATCGAACGTGACTTATACCTGCCATATAAAACTTTAATAATATTGCACCCCCAAAAAACAGTACGTTTGTTTTAACGTTGGATACTAACGTAAACGGACACGGTTCTAGCCGGCATCAGGAAGTGATGTGGCTTCTTCACTGCTGCTGCTGGGGCGGGAATTTCCTGCGTTTCCTACGCGTGTTTGAGTGTGTCTGTTTAGAGCACGTCAAGATGGCAAAGTTCTCAGGAGCACAGCAGCAGGCCCCCCCAGCACTGTAGCATCTCAGCAGGTAACATCTGCACTTGCACGTCTGACAGCTCCGTGATTACAATCAATGCAGTAATCAGAGGTCAGTGAGCGCAGAGAGCTACAGAGCGTACTGTTTGAATGGACGTTTGTGAATCAAAGCTAGTCTTGCACTGTTGTGTTGCTAAAGTAATTAGCTCGTGTACAAGGCCAGGCTGAATGTGGAGTGATCTGCAGAAGTAAGGTTCACTTGTAGCTACCTGATCTGGCATTTCATGTAAAAAGTTTGTTAGTAACGTTAGAGATTTTAGTGTAGTAATTTTAGTGTCGGCATAATTTGAATGAATAACAACATCCTCTCTTGTCAACATCCTGTCAGGGCAGGTAGAATAGTCTGCCCTCATCCACTGTGAAGCACAATGAGTCTGGCTCTTCATGATCTCCTGATCTGCTGCAAGGGGCTGGAGAATGACAAAGCAACAGAGAGGAAGGTAATCACAGCTGCAAATAAACTGCATTTAAACAATGAAACGAGATATATTGCACCAAGCCTTTGTCATCCGTACTATAGCCACATTTAGCCTGCAGTATAAATCAGTTGACAGTTGTGTCCTTCACACCCCCAGAAAGAAGCTGAGCGCTTCAGGCGGCTCCTTCGAACTCCAGAGGTTGTGCAGGAGTTGGATCGAACTTCAGGACCCAAAGCTAAAGGAGGTTCCAAGCAACTCACATGGGATGCTGTTTTCAGGTAGTCTTCCTCTGCATATTTGCATTTTGTTACAGAATGCATATAAAGTTATAAATTAATGTTTTTCCTGCCAACAAAATGGGCCTAGTTTGTTTCCATCTCATCAGTTTAGTTTCACTTTTGTTTCTTTGCACTAATGAATACCAGCTGACTGCCTCACTGTGCTCAGTAATCAAATGGAAATGTGAGAAACTGTACTTAATAATACAGTGAATATGATGGTTTTTATATTTAGAAATACTGATTTCTTTCAAGTTGTTTCACAAGAATCTGTTCTCGTTCCATATTGTGCAAGATACCTGTAAATTGTGCCTTTGCCAAGCACTGTAATTTATTAAGAGTTTTGTTTTTGTTGGGCTCATTTATTGGTCAGAAGCCTATGGCCTTGATAAATCAAAACTTTCTATTCAATTATTTTTCCATGTCAGATTTCTGCAGCGGTATGTCCAGAAGGAGACAGAAAGCATGCAATCAAGTAAATCCAACGTCACAGCAACTACTCTGGCCATGCGGAAGAAGAAGATTGCTCAAATGTGCAGCTTGATCAAATACTTCATTCGCTACGCAAACAAACGTACGGACCAGTAGTCAGTTAAAATTACAGTACAATTTTAGGTCAAATGATTAATTTCACATTACATTAAGGAATGTTTTTTGTACATACGTTTAAATTATATATTTTGTTACTTCACATGACTCATTCATATGTGTAGAAAACAGTGAAAATTCTGAGCAATTAGTTTGAAAATGTTGAAGGGATTGCAGTTACAGTGTCTCTCTCCCTCCGCAGGCGGGCCCCGTCTCAAGTGCAGTGAGCTGCTGAAACATGTGATGGAGGTCCTGCAGAGTTCGTACTGCTGTTCAGCCTATGGAGAAGATTATAGCAGCCTCCTAATAAAGGACATCCTCTCCGTCCGCAAGTACTGGTGTGACATCACTCTTCAGCAGTGGCACAGTCAGTAGGATTACTACAATTTATATGAATGGTGTATAAAGCAAAATGTCTATTTGTGTTATAGCGTGTTATTGCTGTTGTCTGATGTTATACCATCTTGCCTAATCACTTTACTGAATCCCTGTTTGTTTATTTTTGTGATTCTTAGGTCTTCTGGACTTGTATTGTGGCTTCTTTAACTCTTCATCCAAGTCCATCAACCGTGTTCTGGTGAGCAGAGTCATCCACACGGTGGTGCAGGGCTGCTGCATGCAGACTGATGGATACAACAACGCTCTGTTCAGCTTCTTCTCCAAAGCACTGTTAAATGCAAGGTGAAGATGTTTACCAACATATGATAATCCCTCTCAATACTATTTTGGTGCTATCATACAGTACACCAGTTAAGTAAATAAATGCAAACATGAGGAACTTTAGTTTTCATGTGTTCACAAGTGTTTTCTTTTTTGAAATCATATGCCCCTCTTAGGCAGGAGAAACATCTGACTGTTTTGGAGCACCTCATCTCGGCTCTCAACATCTTCCTGAGATCCGCAGCCATGAATTGTCGGATGAGAGTGTGTCTCCTGGGAGAGGAGCTTCTGCCTTCTATACTGTATGTCTGGGCGGATATGAGGCCCTCTGCGGTTCTCAAAGAGGAGATTGTGGATTTCTTTAACCTGCAGATTTGTGCTCACCACCCCAAAGGAGCCAAGACACAAGATACAGGTAGAGTGGTCTTCCTTTTTTTTCTACATTTTTTTGTTTTCTAGTCGTGCTTACACCTTTGGATGTCTGTGTATGGTGTACAGGATTTATTATGGGTTGTATATGGTTCGAAATACGGTTCCACTCATTTGACTGTTCCAAGCAATGGAAAAAGGAATTGGACTAACTAACTAACTAACTAACTAACTGTGTTATCGAGTGTAACAATTAAAGATGGATCTCCAGCAATCTTTGAATGTGTAATTAACTAAAACACCATGAAGTATTTTATAGCATGAATTTATTGAAAACCGGTGGCTGAACTCGAGTTGCTTTAGAAAATCATTGGCAATAATGTAAACATTTAAAGGTAATGAGCTAAACCACTTTAAAGTTAAGGTGTGTCCTTTATCAAGCGACCAGTCACAAGTTGTTTCCCCTCTCGTATCCTAGGTGCTCATGCTGAGGACTGGACCAGGTGGCGAAGTCTGTTGTACAACCTGTATGATGCGTTAATCAGAGAAATTAGTCAGATAGGCAGCAGAGGGAAGTACGTCACAGGGACCCGACACATAGCTGTCAAAGACAATATCATTGAGCTCACAGCTGACATCTGTCACCAGGTAATAAAGAAAGAAAGAAAAGAAGGGAATTTTTTATATTTCCGTTTTGTTTAACAGAAATATTTATGCAATGATATCACCAATTTCAGCTAATTTAAATGTTGTACGTGTCTGTAACATTATTTCCTTTCCTGCATGTAGTTGTTCAGTGATGACAATGACACCCATGTCTTGGAGGTGACTCAAGCCTCCCTCAGAGCCACCCGCATGAGCAGTCCCACCCATGGAACGGCCAGCAAGCGACGGCGCATCGAACTGGGCTGGGAGGTCCTCCGGGACCATCTGCAGCCTCAGCATAATGACTTCGATGTCATACCATGGTATGAAAATCACAACACAATTAAAATTAAAAACATTTTAGAGGTAAACAAGTTAGTACAGCTGCTTAAAAATGGTTTTATTTTATGGTAGAAAATCGAAAAAAGTAGCGTGTTGTTTCTCTGATTGTACCCACTCAAGCTCAATCATGTAAAGATATTCTTCTTTCATTTTCACATTTCAGGCTGCAGATCACTGCAGTGCTCACCTCTAAGTTCCCGTCCATGGTGCCCGGCCAGGAGCTTGTCCCGCTGCTGTCCGTGTTATACCAGCTCCTGGCAGAGCAGCGGAAAGGAGAGAGGGGGCCGTACGTGCTGCGCTCTTTGAAGGAGGTGGCCCGGTGCCAGGCCCGCTACCCGGAGAGGGCCCAAGTTTACAGGACGGAGCTGGGCAGGCTGTGGGGTCGGGTGTGGGCCCTGGCACTGCGAGGGGTCAGCTCGCCCCAAACAGAGGCCCTCAGCCTGGACCTGCTGAGCTCTATTGTTCACGGTGGCCTGATCAATATGGACAGAGAATTCTGGAAGCTCTTCTCTGGATCAGCATGTAAACCGTCTGAGTGAGTATCCGCCATGAATTTAATCTTAATACTGAAAATGTCTCCATATAATGAATGTCTGTGTTTTTGTGTCTGCATGTAGTACCCCTTTTTTCCTCTCTTATCCACAGGGGTGCTGCTCTCTGTCTAGCCCAGGCCCTGCTAAAATGTCCAGTCCCTAAAAGTCTCATCTCAAGCTCAAGCTGGGACTATGTGGGGGTCACAGAGGGATCTGCTTCACCTAACCTGAAGGAGACTCTCATAGCATGGTTGCTGATGACCGATCAGAGCGATGAGATGGAGGATAGCTCCAGACCTCACCCTATCATTTGCAGGTTGCCACTGTGTTGTTTCTATGTTAGCTGTGGATTTAGCTGCAGTTGACTGTAGATCATTTGATCCTGGTTCAGTACTTGCTTATTGAACGATGTAATGTCTTGAGACTGTCTTCTTAAAAACTCCAAACATGAATTACAAGCTTCTCTCTTTGTTAAGATATATCTATTTTGTCTTTGATTTTAAGATACCGGTCTGTAAATGTATGTTTTGTTGTGATCTTGTGTGCAGAGACTTTCCTTACAATGTAATAGCAAACATCCTGGTCTCCCTGACCTTGAAAGACACGAGAACAGGCCTGAAGTTTCTGCTGGGTACTGAAGGAGTAGAAAGGTGCCTACCATAACCACCTACATGATAACGAATCTTAATCCGCTTATTCTGCACAATCCATGCATTACTTGTTTTTTGGCATCATTTTTAAGACGTCAGTTTTTTGGG